AGTGTCACCTGAAAGTGAGAAGAGGCATTCACATGGCACTGTTGTAGCCAGTGTTGCAAGTTATTTACGTGCCAGATTCATATGTCCCTTCGTGCTTCGACCACCATTCCAGAGGACTTGTGTCCATGCTGATGATGGGTTCTGCTTGATAACGATCCAAAGCAGAGCGGACCGACGCATGTTCATTTTCATGATCTGAGTCAGATGCCACCAGCAGAAAGTTGATTTTCTTTTTTGGTGGTTCAGGGTCTCTAGTTTCCGCATCAGAGTGTTGCTCTTTAAGACTTCTGGAAGCATGCTCCACATCTCGTACCTCTCAGATTTTGGAAGGCACTTCAGATTCTTAAACTTTGAGTGAGGTGCTGTAGCCATCTTTAGAAATTTTACATTGGTACCTTCTTTGCGTTTTGTCAAGTCTGCGGTGAAAGTGTTCCAAGACTGCTATAACATGAAGTATATGGAGAATGCGGGTAAAAGAGAGCAGGAGACATAACTATTCTCCCCCAAGGAGTGCAGTCACAAATTTAATTAACACATTATTTTTTTAATGAGCATCATCAGCATGAAAGTAGGTCTTCTGGAATGGTGGCCAAAGCATGAAGAGGCATGCAAATGTTTAGCATATCTGGCATGTAAATACCTTGCAATGCCGGCTACAAAAGTGCCATGTGAATGCCTGTTCTCAGATGACATTGTAAATAAGAAGCGGGCAGCATTCTCTCCCATCAGTGTAAAGAAACTTGTTTGTTTTAGTGATTGGCTGAACAAGAAGTAGGACTGAGTGGATTTATAGACTCTAAAGTTTTTTACATTATTTTGGTTTTGAGTGCAGGTACGTAACAAAAATCTACATTTGTAATTACAGTATTGCATGAGGTGAATTGAAAAATACTATTTGTTATCATTTTTGCAGTGCAAATATTTGTAATACAAATAATATAAAGTGAGCACTGTAAACTTTGTATTTTGTGTTGTAATTGAAATGAACATATTTGAAAATGTAGAAAAACATCCAAAAATATTTAATTTCAATTGGTATTCTACTGTTTAACAGTGCAATTAAAACTGCTATTAATTGTGATTGATTTTCTTGAGTTAATCACGTGAGTTAACTACAATTAATCGAAAGCCCTAGTTTTAACTTAGTGTTAGTTGTGGAAGTATGTGATATCTATAATCTTATATATGACATAAATTTGAAATTAGAATTTCCGCTCAGATTCTTGCTTGTTTGGACCCAAAACTAGATGTGTGATACACAGTGTTTGTTGCTGCATTTTGTAACTCTTCCTTTATGGTGCTATAACAATCACTGATCTGGGTATGAATCTACAGAAGTAGGAGTAATTCCTTTGTATGTTTTTTTAACACATTACTTTTCTGCCATGGAAGCATCTTAGACATTTCTGATATTGCCTATCACTACAATATCATCTGGTGCTATGATAGTATGCAGTCATAACTCCACCATTGCATACATCACAGTGTGCATTTTAAAAATTAACCTGCACTTGTCTCTCACTGTATCTGTATTACTGTAGTGCCTAGGACAGTGATTCTCAAATGTGGCCGTTTTGGAGCTCTTTTCCCAAATTGCCTGCTGCCGCCACTACTCTGCTCCCTGCAGCAGCCACCAAAGCCCACGGTTGGCCCAGCAGCATTTCACTGTACTGTAGTAGGGCTGCTGCCTCTGTGAATTCCATAGAGATGAACAACTGAAGCGCCCTCTCTGTGATCCCTGTGTGTCGGAGCTTGACAAGTTTTGGTGTGCAAAGCATTCAGATCACTTCAAAGAACCTGTGTATGTGGCTGTAGTGATGCCAAACACATTTCCAACAACTGTTATACATGAGTGTGCATTCAGGGCACTTTATTTTGTGAAGAGCAAATACAGAAACAAGCTTACTGACAAAAGCCCAGAGGCTGCACTCTGACTGGTACTGGAAGAGAGGAGTCATGATCAGTTCCCTTTCAAGAACCTTTTGAAATTAAAAAAGTTCATATTTACAACTATTTGGCTACAAAAAAGTGAGATAGTTTGTTACAAACTTTTAAAAAAATTGTTAGTTATAGATAGTAATATAGCTAGTAAAAACCGTGTAACTTGTGGTATTAATAGTACATATTATTCTTTATACTGAAAAGATATATTGTTTAATCCACATGACTCTTTCAAATAACCAAGTGACTAGACTATCCCTTGTATATTTTAATGTTCAAAACTGTGGCCACACATTTGGCCACAGTAAAAACTCATTTGAGAACCACTAGCGTAGGAACTCCCTTCACAGACCAGGACCTCATCCTATTAGGTACACAACAAAAAGACTGTCCCTGTCTGAAAGAGCTTGCGTTGATCCATAGTCTGGCAGAGAATACAATGCTATGCTTTATAGGGGATTTGGCTTTACCTAGACTCTATTCTGTCCTATGTAAAGAAGTGCAAAACTTGCAGTTGACCAGAAAATGTGTATAAGACTCTATTGTGCATTATAAGATGACTGTACCCGTACCATAATTTTCTCTCTGTGATTAGATTTTTGTATAAAAGCAAAGATTGTATTGGCATATGCGTATCTGAGCAATGCGCGAATGAGGAAGTTTGGGGTAAGTGCTCTTGCAGTGGGAGGCTGGCAATGACTTCTATTCAAGCACTTTTTAATCCACTGCAAACTGCACTCCATCCTTTTACGTAAATATTCAGTGACATATAAGTTCCTGAACTAGAGATCTTATGTTAATCATATCCAATTTACAGTAGATAAACTTGTGATATTATATAAGTAATCTTAATTAAAGGAAGAATGGAGGAACTGGTAGGAATTTTTGTTTTCTTTCTTGATGTATTGATGGTAAAAGGGCAGGTGTTTTGACTTTCAATAGGAAATTAGCTGTCTGCTGCCTTTTTCCTGTAGATGGAGCTAAAAGTCCATGTGATGATCTAGCATTATCTTTTCCTTCCCACCCTTTGGATTAATAGAGGATTATGAAAAATACCAGTCATGAGCTTGGGGCTGCATCTAGAAGGTTGTAACAGACTAATGCTGCAGTAACGAAGGCCCTTGTGCATTGAGGTGCCACAAGGTTTTAATCTCAATTTTGCTTTATGTCTCTAACACGTCTCTAATGCTGGCAGAAAGAAAATGCAAACAATACATAGATACATTTCCCTTGATTCAAATGCAAACGATGTCCTTCTCTAGCTATCTCAGAACCTTGATGAGATTGGCTTCTGGGAAAGACAGAGGTTATGCTTGTGGATAGAATACACTTTGAAGAACTATAGGGGGCACTTGCCTTATCTCCATCAAAATAATGCTCCACATAGCTGTCCTGGACTGATCCTAGAAAGAGCATCTAGACAAACTTTCTTCCACGGCCAGCTGATCAGAATATACCCTATCCTGCGAGACACAAACTTGGCCACAGTAATCAGATGTTCTTAAACTTAGAGCCGATTGTTGTAATTCACTCTTCATTTGGGCACTAACGAAATGACAGCTGGCGCAGAGTGCACCTTCTGGCTAACCCGGGTTGCTAAAAACACAATATGTTTGTGTCCAGATAACTGTGCTGCCTGCCTATCGAATAGCAGATCAAGTTTGAAACCCTACCCTTGACCTAAATGATCGTGACAGGCTGGGTCAGCAGATCCTCTAAAAATGATAGAACAAAGTATGTCTGTAGGGACTCTAGCGGGCTTATGGAAAGTATTGTTTCCATGTCTTTGTTTTAGATATTTCTGGACAATATGAGGAAGTTGCCTCCATTCCCAGGATTACTCAGTTGTCAACCCTAATCAAGCTTGCTCTCTCAGGGTTTTTTATGATAAACTGCGTCGGTTGAAATTGCCATATATATCCCATTAATATACCAACAGGGAAGTGCAGGCTCAAATAGACCTTGGCTCCCAGGTATTTTTTTTTTTTTTTCACCAAGGACGGTCTAGTTACTAGTATTTTTCAAGGCCGCCTCCTGCTTACACTGCAAAGGGAAGGAGGGAAATAACTTTCTATTGGGATCTCATCCCCTCCTTGTAGTATGGACCAACCAACCCATGCCCCCGAATTTCCGGTCAGATTTGTGTGATCATGTTCAGTACCTTCAGAGACGCTGGATTTGGTTTCTCTTTTTCCAGCACACGTTCAGAGTAGTCTTTCTAAGTCATTAGTGTGTGTCAGGTTTAGTGATGGTGGTCAGATAGTAACTATGTAATAGCTGGCATTTGTTTGATTTTTCTATGTGAAAATAATTCATGGCCTGTAAAATTCCATGACTGAAATAATCCACTATTTTTACCCTGAACAAATATATGGAATTGTTCCTAAAGGTCTTTTTGTGGGTTTTTCAAAATTCCAGAGTCCCTTTTGTTTTCATATCAAGATTTACAACCTCTGTAGACTGCAACCATATGAGCACTCGAGTGTAATGTTGATTACATACTTGAGCAGGTCTTGAATTCCATTCAGTAGAGGTTTTATCCATACACATGACAACCTAAAATATTATAAAGGCATCAACAGTTTTTTTTGGCATTCTGTTGTTGCAACTGCCTGCCATATTTGAGGTCTAAGTACAAGACTGATGGATATAAGATGCATAATTATCTATCAGTAAGATTAGACTCTTGCCATAGGTGTTATACATAAAATGACAATGGAGTAATGTCATGATAGCTGGCAGATTTTATTCTGAGACAATGGTACTGGAAATGAGGTAGGTGATGGGCACTAAAGTTCTTTCTACTTGTCTACTCTTGAGGTAAGATGTTGAGGTTTTGGTTCTGGTTCATACTTCTCTGCAGTTAGTCACCCTTTCTCTTTGAGACGCTTGTCAGCAGCACTGTTCAGGAAACAGGTAGTAGGTCCTAATTACACAATGCAGTGTACTGCTTATTTCGTTAATTGAAGTTGTTAAATACGGCATAGTTAGCAATGAATTGGTATAGCATACGTTGTAGGAGCTAATAATTCAGTTTGAATGTCTTTTTCTTTTTCTAGATATTTCAAGGAAACACTGAGTATTACCAGGAAGTTCGCAATAATTTCATTCCACCTATTATTGCACGTTTTGTTAGGGTTAACCCATTAAAATGGCATCAGAAAATTGCAATGAAAGTGGAACTGCTAGGATGTCAGTTTAATATAGGTAAGACCATTAAAAATGCCTCAGTCACTGTAAAACACTGGAATATGTTTGTAGATATCACCTAAACTTTTGGCTTTGGTTTCCATCAGAAATCATGACAAAATGTTTTTTCTCTAAAATATTTTTGAGGAGGATCAGAAAAATCTCATCTTCCTGTAATGTCCACTGGACTAATATTTTCTAGTTTGACACTCAAAATATTCTGAGACTTATGTAACTTGGAAAATACCTACCTGAAGTGCTCCATGGATAAGCTCCTTGTATCAAAGATATTAGCAATTGGCTTTTACTTTTCATGGGCTCATGTCCTTTTCTGACTGAACAAAATGAATGAGTCCTTTGGTAAACTGGCCACGTTTTCCTTTCATATGCAAGGAGTTTGTTCAACTTAAACCAGCACCATGATTGGGTAAACTTTTTTCCTAAATATCTTTATCCAGGTCGGGCTCCAAAACTTACCATGCCACCGCCACCACCACCACCACAAAGTAGCAACGACTTCTCCCTGCAGACTGACAAAACAACCTCCACTCCTGAGATCAAAAACACCACTGTGACTCCAACTGTAACCAAAGGTATCAACACTTAAGTGGTGATAGTGTTTGAGAACTGTAGTAATAGGTCTTATGTTAACATATCTTTCACTGGTGTTTGCAATGTTGTTGGTTCCATGATATTAGAGACAAGGTGTGCGAAGCGTTACCTTTTTTTGGACCAACTTCTTTTGGTGAGAGACAAGCTTTCAAGCATCACAGAACTTTTCCTCTGTGTCGCTCGAAAGCTCATCTCAACAGAAGTTGGTCCAATAAAAGATATTACCTCACCCACTTGTCTCTCTTACGCCAACATAGTTTATCTAAATGTAAATTATTTTGGATTTACTTTCTGCCCTTTATGGTGCGCTGAACTTATACCTGCTATAACAAATCCTATCACACTCACTTTTCCTTTTTAAATATTTATATTACTCCAGTAGAGCCCCATATGATGGGTAACGATTTATAGCTACATTCTGCCCTCAGATATGCAAATGTACAAATCCTTTGGAACAGCTTCTATCTGAAAGATTAAAAAGACTGGGACATTCCAGCTTAGAAAAGAGATGACCAAGGAGGATTTGATATAGGTCTATAAAATCATGAACGGTGTGGAGAAAATAAATAGAGAAGTATTATTTAATCCTTCACATAACACAAGAACTAGAGGTCACCCAATGAAATTAATAGGCATCAGGTTTAAAACAAAATCAACTACTTCTTCACACAACACACAGGCAACCTGTGGAACTCGTTACCAGGGAATGGTGTGAAGGCCAAAACTGTAATTGGGTTAAAAAAAAAATTAGATACGTTCATGGAGGATGGGCCCATCGATGGCTCTTTGCCAAGATGGTCACAGGGACAACTCCATGCTCTGGGCGTTTATAAATCTCTGAGTGCTAGAAGCTGGGACTGGATGATAGTGGATGGGTCACTCAATAATTGCTCTCTTCTGTTCATTCCCTCTGAAGCATGTGGCACTGGAAGACAGGATCCTAAGCTAAATGGATCATTGGTCTGACTCAGTATGGGCATTCTTAAATATTCAGGTGCCCTTTTGAGCTAGAATTTTGAAATTGGGTACACCTCTTCATTCAAGGCCACTGTCACAAGAAAGAAAAATTCCAGATTTGAACTTTCCATCTGAGTGAGTTCACCAAAAAGACATCAGTGTCTGTCTTATTGAATTTCAGCCATTTGTTACCTATTGTCAAAAATTGATGAGTTCTAATATTTTACATTAATGCCATTAATTTCTTCCATGAAGCATCCATGCTGGTATGAAACCTCATCACTTTGATTGATTTTTAGCCAAGAAAATTGTCAAAAGTAAGTAAGAGCACTAAAAGTGCAGGCAGTGAGGAACGGCAGTTGGGACAGTAGTCCAAAGAGTAGGCTGCTGCCAAATGATATACGAATACTGTTTAAATGTCGTTGACACCTTCAAGTCAATTTTAAGTGCTAAGTTCAGAAGTCTGTGTTCCCGTGATGTTCTAATTTTCTTTAGGTTGATATTCAGGCAAATTGTAATTTGAACTGTTTTTTCATATACAAATAATAAGAAATCTTCTGACTCTGATATAGTAGCTTGGAAAAACTACTGATTGTACATATATGTGGAAAAATTGGGTGTTAAATTTATTATTTAACATTTACATTTAAGGTAGCACCTAGAGGCCAGCCTGGTCAGGACCCCATTGTGCTAGGCACTGTACAAACATATAAAAAATTATGGTGTCTTCCCTAAAGAACTTGTGAACTAAAAATGGATGTGCAAAAAGTTATTCTGTCCTACACCACTTTTGTTTAATGGATTTCAGATGTGGCACTGGCAGCAGTCCTAGTTCCAGTATTGGTGATGGTCTTCACTACTCTCATTCTGATCTTAGTGTGTGCATGGCACTGGAGAAACCGGTAAATTAATGGATGATTAGCACTCATGTAAAGTATTTTAATTTAACATGTAGGTATGAAATACACTGCATATGTAAGTATGGAAACTGTAGTTAAACCTTTCCAGAATGGATTTATTAGTTCATTCATATACGAAGAGGAAATGTTCTGCATCCTGAAGATTCCATATTTTATTGGCTAGCATTATGAAGGTTTGCTGTATTCTACAGAGTTCTTTCCTGAAATTTTGGGAGACACTAGTTTGTGGGGGATTATATTTTGAACCTCGAGCACCAGCTACAGCCAAGGGCATGGTCAAGGCCTTCTCTCCCCAGTCAATTCAAAGGGATCCAGCCTAATACATGACCCAGCGGTCTCCTTTCATGTTGACCAGTTGAGGAGGTGCTGAAATTGGAAAGTTGCAGCTTCATATCCTCCAACGACCACCAGCTATCAGGATTTATAATAGAAATCATCACTAGTCTGTAAACATTTCAGTGCTATAACTTGTCAGGATTTTTCTTCTGAAGCAAAATGTTTGCTAAATCAGTATTAATGTGTTTTTACATTTGAATATGGTAGCTAAATGTGTCCAACTTTTTATTTTTTTCCAGAAAGAAAAAAGCTGAAGGAACATATGACTTACCTTACTGGGATCGCGCAGGTAACAAAATGGTGACAAAGTCTCTGGACTCAGTGTCAGCCTTAATGAGCATTAGTGTTTAAAACATGCATTTTAAACAATGATACTATCTGTAACTTCATCTTTACCAGCTTGTTGTAACACAGTGGTACTGAATTCCTCTTCCATTCAGACTTGTAACTTTTATTTCTGTACGTTGGCTTCAAAAATAGGAAGACTCTTTTTTTCCCAAAGTATACTATTAGACCTCCACTCAGAACCTTGTAATACTGACTTGAAATTCTACACAGGAAAGGTTGGAATCTTTCCATTTAAACAAGAGAAACAGAACAAGGAATCTCATTTTGAGCAATAATTTTTATATACAGTAATTGGATATCCTGAGAGTTCTGAATATTGATGAACTTTTGTAGGATTTTTTTAGTACTGAAAACACTTTAGTATGCTTGTCAACTTTATTTTCTATTTCCCCATTGCTCTTTTAAGTGCATGAGATTTTCTCAACCTTCCATGCCTATAATATTATATCTGATTAGCTTCTTGTGATTTTTCACCTTGTGAAAATCCTCAATTTAACACACACTCTTGTGACACACAAACACCCACCTTGTTTTAAGGGGCAGGGAAGGGTGGAGTTAAAATCTATAGCCTAGGAGTGCTAATACACGGGGCTCCTTATTCACTAAGAATGCTCACTGTTCAACACAAGAAGTTTGGCCTCTGTAATATTTTCCATGCTGTATTTTGAACCTAAAAATTTATTTACTGAAATTCTTACATCTGTGTACTAGGACCAGCAATGGTGGTAACACAGAAATTCAGGGCTAGATTCTTCATTCTGTCCCTGTTGCTTTGGAAATGATATCAGTTAAAAATGGAGTGGAAGCCTTATTACTGAGCCTCCTGCCTTTTGTCAGACAGATTTGTTGGACATCAGTAACTTCAACAATGTATTAAATGTAATTTTATGATTGTCTGGTAAAGTATCCTATAAGCTCCAGGTGTTCTGTGAATAGTGATAACTAATTTGTTGACCTTTCTTTTCCGGGGGGGGGGCAAAGCAAAGGCAAGCTGTTTTCACAGAGACTAAGAAAGGTGTGTGATACTTTTAGCATCTTTAGTAACTTACATGAATGAATTACCACTGACTTTTTATTATGCATTGTTGTAAGTTCTTACATCTTTTATTTCTAAAATCTTGAAGGGTGGTGGAAAGGCATGAAGCAGTTTCTCCCTGCCAAGTCAGCAGAGCATGAAGAAACCCCTGTTCGCTATAGCAACAGTGAAGTTAGTCACCTGAGACCAAGAGAAGTCCCAACGATCTTACAGACTGAGTCTGCAGGTACCTGTTTTTTGTTGTGGACCATGTATTTTGGCTTAATGTGTGAAATGATTTCTACTGCATGCATTTGCTATAGCTGAAATCTGGTTTTACCCCTCATCTCCTATTGTTTGTGCTGGAGAGAGAGAGAGAGCGCGAGCGAGCAAAAGACTTGACTTTGGTATATTTCTCCTTTCCTCCCTACCTGTTCTGTCTTCTCATAGTTATTCAGATTATAAAGGTTCCACAGGCAACCTTAATTCTGGCATATCCTAATTTTTGAGTGTTTAACTTCCTAAGGTCAGGTCTACACTATAAACTTGTATAACTATGTCACTTAGGGGTGTGAAAAATACACACCCCTGTGCGATGCATTTATACTGACCTAATTGCTCGTGTAGATAGTACTATGTTGAGGGGAGAGCTTCTCTCCTCAACATAGCTACCGCCTCTTACGGAGGTGGATTAACTACACTGATGGGAGAGAAGTCCTCCTGTCAGAGTTGTAACATCTTCACTAAAGCAGCACCAGGGTACTGCAGTCTGATAGAAGGCAAACATAGTGGTCACTGGATGACTAGTTTTCTGTTCCCTGAGTGAATCAGGAACCTGCTAGAACCAATTAAGAATTTACTAGAATCAGTCATGGCTGGCAGACTAATCAGGACACCTGGTTTAAAAAGGACCTCATTTCAGTTAGTAGAGGGCATGCTGTTGCTGGAGGACTGAGGAGTACAAGTGTTATCAGGCTTCAGGAGGAAGATCCTGCAGTGAGGATAAAGGTGCTGGGGGGAAGCCATGGGGAAGTAGCCCAGGGAGTTGTAGCTGTCACGCAGCTGATACAGGAGACAGCTGTTAGCCACAGGGCCCTGGGCTGGAACCTGGTGTAGAGGGCGGGCCCGGGTTCCCCCCATCCCCCTCAATTCCTGATTGGACACAGGAGGAACTGACCTGGTCTGTGAGCAACACCAGCAGGGAAGGTCTAATTTGGAAAGGGATCCTGTCCCCAACCCACTAGGTGGGACAACAGAAATTGTTCTTCGTTTTCCCCATGCTGGCCAGTGATGAGGTGAGCAAATCCGCCAGAAAGCACAGGACCTGCCAAGGCAGAGGAGGAACTTTGTTACAATAGGCAAACTGAAAAAACGAATTCCATCTTGTGGAATCATATTAACCCCTTTAACAGCAGGATTGGAACCCCTACCTCCACAGCACAGACCTCTGCTAAACAGAGTGACTGTTAACAGTAGAAGGTTCCCTCCTCTTTGTGGACCAGCCCTAGAGGAGAATGAGTGAGGTGGGTTTCACAGCTATTTGCTGACATCAGAGGAACGTAGATATTTGGGAATCCTGGGTTTAATTCCAGGTTCTGTAGTGTGCTCTAGTGGGCACAGACCCTTCTGCCTATGTTCCCATCTTAGTCTCTCACCCCGAGGCTCCTTGTCATCTGGGTATTGGAAACAGCTAAACAGTTTTCACTGAAACTCCAATCTGCTGGGCAGACAGGCAGCATGGTAAATTTTCAGCCCAAGCAATTGAAGTGTCTGTCAAGCTTAATTATAGGTATTGACTCAAATAATGGTCTACTCCTGGGTTTCTTGCACCTTCCTCTGAAATATTTGGCACTGGCAGAGAAAAGATACTGGACTAGATGGACCATTGGCTTGATGCCGTGTGGTAATTCTAATGTCCCTTATGAGGGTTTCTCTTTTTAACACAATGCCACCATATTAGAGTAAAATATTTTCCCATCTGTAAAATTTTCTTTTTTGGGACATTGCACAGAGTATGCTCAACCACTGGTAGGGGGAATCGTTGGCACACTTCATCAGAGATCAACCTTTAAACCAGAAGAAGGAAAAGAAGCAAGCTATGCTGATGTGGATCCTTACAACTCACCTGTACAAGAAGTTTATCATGCTTATGCTGAACCATTACCTGTCACTGGACCAGAATATGCAACCCCAATAATCATGGACATGTCAGGTCATCCCACTGCACCTCTTGGTGTCTCTTCTATTTCTACTTTCAAGACTACAGCGAACCAAGCCCCTCCCACAGTAGGAACTTGCAATAAACTCTTAGCTAAGACAGATAGCTCATCATCTGCACATGCACTGTATGATACACCAAAGGGGATGCCTGGACCGGGTTCCTCAGTTGAACTGGTGTATCAGGTACCACAGAGCATGCCACATTTCACAGGAAGTTGAGAACTGAGGTAAGTCATGAATGAGCTAGGAGGTAGCAAATGTGAGTTCTTAAAATGGCTGTTTTGAATCCCATTGAATTTTTTTTGTATTGTAAGTTGTTGTAACATGGAGTTGCACAAAAATGTGATAGCGGAGGTCCAGGAAACTAACGATCCTGCCATTTCTTTGAGGGTATATACATCTGATTTACTTGCTGTTCAGAAATCATGGACACCCAGTTTACTACTGTACATCAGATAGAGGAGCTCCCTAAGATGAACTTCAGAGATTGATAGTCAGCGGAAAGATTGTCATGGTGCATGGAGAGGAATGATACATTTCTATAGCCTGAGAGCCAATAATTTAGACCTTGCTGAAGGTACAGGTGAATTTCAGAAACAGTAAGAGATTCTAGCTTTCCCCCCAGAGAACTTCAAAAACGCTTAATGTTTCTGGGACTGCTGTAACTGAACCCTAGGACAAAACTCCCAGTGACTTCATTGGAAGCAGGATCACCACTCCAGAGTTAATTTTTCTACTGTTTTTAGCTTCCTTTAAAAAACCCCACCATCTGTTAGCTTTGCCTCATGGACTTTAAGGTCAGAAGGGACCATCAAGATCACCTAGTCTGGCCACAGGACCTCACCCCTGATCTTTTCTAGGGATAATTTCTCTGTACAGTCAAACAGACTAGTATGATCAGTGTTCTTAACAATAGTTACTTGAGAGTTTATCCCTAAGTGAGACTACTGAATAATCCTCTGAGGTTCCCAATGTGGCTGGCAACTTGGTCATTCTTTGAGAGAAGAGTGACTTTTTTTAAACACTTGTACTGGTTTTAATGAGTAGGCAAGTACTGCTAGAGCTTTTTAAGGGACAGGTTTAAAGCTTGTGCACAAACATTTCAGGGTATTGTAGGTGCATTTGGTCCTCTAGACTGATGGTTATTTTCACCCTTCATTCTAGAGATGAACAGAGTCTTAAACTAATTGAGATTTGTTTTAAAGTGTGCAACCGTTTAGAAGCCACTATATAACCCATTGGATTCATCCTAAAATAAAAATACTGCAGGGAAAGTTGAAACAAAGCTGTGCTGAATTGCATATTAAGAGAAATGGTCTTCTGAAAGAGAGTAGTCTACTTACAAAGCACCATAGCCTTGTTTAACCTTGCCAAATGAAAACTTCTCTGGTTGCTGTTTAAAAAAAACACTAAACAAATGAGGAAAGTGAAATGGCACTTGCATGCCCAGTTTTATGGACTTTTCTGTTGACACATGATTCAGATGAGCCTTGTTGTTTGTCTAAGGCCTGTGTAACAACCCCATTCTTGCTGCAAATTTACTCTGCCTTGATATTTAGTTTTTACAACAATGTGATACATAACTTATTTTTCTCCTGGTACTAATCACGTTTGTGATTTTGGAATTACGTACACTGTGTTTTAAGGCCTGATCCTGCAAACGCTTACTCATGTGACTAGAGTTTTGTAGGATTGGTCTCTAAATGTGAATATTTTAAGTCTCAGCCTTCTGCTAAAAGTTTCACTTACTAGGCTGTTGTTTAATGGAAGGATTACATAAATGTGTTAAAATTCCGTCTGTGGTATTTTCCTAAATGTATTTATTTGGAGACTCTGTATCTGACAAACTTACTCTTCTGGATAAAAAAAATTGTTGTGCTACCTAAGGGCAATGTATGCACATAAAGTAACCAGCTGCAGTACGAAAGCAGGGTCTATGTGTACCCCAGCCATAGCACATAAATGAGTGGCTTTGAATTAATTCACTTAAGGCAGGTCAGAATTTCAGTAGAAAAATATCTAGAAGCAAAATCCCTCCAGTGCAGTAAGAGTTTGTTTATAGAACAAAAAGCCAAAATATAATTTTCTTTCCAGGTTTACCAAAGCTTAGTTTAAACACTTTTTCTCTATGCATGAAATGTCTGTGTTACAAGATAAAAGGTTTATTTTAAGCCAAACTTGAGCTAATGGCCTGTACTGTAAGATGCATAGTCCCATCTACAGAGATTAATGGATACAAAAAAATCATTGGTATGAAACTGGCTATTCTCCCAGAATGTACTGTCTTACCTCAGCCTGTACTGTATTTGTATATATTGCTAGACTTTAGATTGTATAAATAGTGAGATTATGTATTTTGAATAAATTGTACATATGTATCATGTTCAGGAATGATTGCTATAGGATGTGTATCCTTAAGAGTTCTACACAGTCTAAAACTAGAATCTCTTGCATACTGATTATGGAGTCTACAGCTCCTCCATTCTTTGTAGGAGTCAAGGATGCTATTGGGACATGTTAAACATATCATGGAAGAACTAGATTCACCAAAAAGTTAATACAAGAGAGGGCTGGGACCAGGGGGACATGAAGACAAACTGTGTTTCTACTAACTTCATTTATCCTGCTTTAAAACAATTTAGGGGAAAGGCTTGTGACACCAGGATTATTATAGTGCTTTCTTAGGCTAGGAATTAATTTTAGATTAGATAGCAACTAATAAATAACTTTAATTATTCTTTTATGACCTTAAGCGATTCCTTCCAGTGTGCAAAATTCCTAATGGCTTTAAGCTACTCAAACCAATCATAGTGATCTAGGAGGAGGAGTCAGAGTTTCCTTACTTGAAAAGAACAAACCTGTATTTACATTGTGATTGAAAAATCAACTTTCACATACACAATTCTAATAGCCTTTAACCACATGATTCTGGCAGCATATTTGTTCACACAATTTAGAAAACTCAAGGGCATACTCATTGCGAAAGATTAAGTCTTTCAATTATTTTTTCCCTTTCTAAAAAGATATCTGTTCTTCGCAAGATTCTGTTAAGTCTTCTCTTAAGATAATCATTGTCAGAATCTTGGGCATTCTCCAGTGGCTGAGAAACAGGTGTCTTCTCTTTCAACATGTGCCACTTCTCTATTTCAGCTCTTGTATTACACAGGTGTTCCTAAAAGGAGAATACATATTAGATGTGCAGAGTCTATATTGTTCATATTTGCCTCATTTGGTATTTCAGAGCCTTCTCTCAGGGAGCAGACATGACTCATACTTAAGTACTGGTAATTTGACAGTTAAGTGAGACAACTGGTCCAGGATGCTAATATTAGTAATCCTACAACCTAGTCTGGAGCCAGAGCCTTCTGCCACTCCAAAGCAATCATCCTCGAAGTTAACAATGACTTTGCATCACTATTCTCTTATGGTGGGGATATTAGCTAGTACTGCAAAGGCTGATCAATATACATCTGGTCTAGGATCACTGAAAAAGTCCCAAGGGAATAGCCTGCCAGGTCACATGTGCAGCAAAATAATAGAAAAGCTCAGACTATAGTTACTGCATCCACCACACTGGTATCGGAGCACGTGGAGTTCACCCTAAAAGATGTATTTGCATAGCATTCACCTTGCAGTGTAGGCCACCGACCCATTAGAACAGACTTTGATTTCCAGTGGTTGTGGCATGCTATGCACGTTCTTTATTACTTCGCAACCCCGCCTTCACCAAAACATTGCACCCTTATGCCTGTGACTGACCTGAACTTCTGCTAGTTTTGACTGTGCTGCTTCAACTTTGCATTTCAGATTCTCCACATCTTCCTAGTAGAAAATAAAAATAACAGTTTTCAAGTACACTGTAGGTGGATAATCCCATTGACAGAGTACGGCAGCTCATGGCAATGGTGTGGGGCAGAAATGTACCAGCATTTCTACAGATTAAATACCAAAATGAGTTTTGAAAGGAAGCATCCAGCTGTTATTGGAATATCCACACCCCACTGCCTGTAGAGGGATGGAAAAGCCATGCTGTACACACACAGTTTTCTTGGTACCTTCTGCAGTCACTGAAAAGCAAATAGTAGTGCTTACAGTGTAGTCCCAGGCCACAAATGATCTGCACCACTATTTTACTCCTCTCTAGAGAGGAGTAATAAAGGTTTTTCATGCAGAAGAAAAAATGCTACCAATCCATAACTTTGTCAGCCTCAAAGTTCTCTTCTACGTTAAGGCTGCAGCTTCATCTGAGCTACCCAAATAGGATCAGATTTATTTTTAAACTAGAAAATTCTTGAAAGCTGTGAAAAGGACTTGCACAGCCTCTGCCAAGCAGTTTTACGATCATCCCTTACGAAGGGCAGTAGTCTTAACATGCAAGCTTTGGAATAGTGAGTGGAGAAACAGGTCTTCAATCCTTGCACCTTCTATCATGCCACCGCTAAGTACAGTCTCCCACTGCCCCCTCATCATCAAACACCCAAAACCGTTCCATACACTGGACTTGTATCCCAGATTTTATTTCTTTAGAAAGACAAGGGACTTGAGGAGTGGTTGTCCAAGATGGCTTATGGACAGTAAGATAACAGAACTTACTTCTGCTTGCTGTACTCTACGTTCCACTTCCTGTATCCGTTGTTTACAAGACTCTCTCTCCAGCCTGGAAGACAAACACATTATGCTCCCGATTTCTGATTATCAGAACCCCTTTATGGAATTACAGCCTTCTAAATAAATTGGTGTTGACAGGCAGGAGGACAAGGGAATGATTTAGTACAATACAAATTCTTAAATGAACATGAGCTTACGCTAAACTCTTTAGAGAAGTGAATTAGTTTTTTTTTGGGTTGATCCAAGAATATCAGTGGTTTTAAGCCACAACGAAATCAATGTATCTTAACCAGCAGCTATAAGAACAGGCAAACTGCTTCTTAGATAAGGTTCAAAGGCCATTTAGTACAGTCAGTATACTCAACCAGACCCTGCATGCTTGCCACCACTGTCAACAGGAGTTATGCATAAGGATCATGTTCACTTTTAAATAGCAGGTGTAATTCCAATTAGCACTGGGCATGGAACTCAGATCAGTCCAAACACTCGTTATTTGAGTTACTGACAAAAGTCTAAGTAAATGCAATGCCATTCAACTCTGTGCTGAGCCTTGGGAGCACTGCTTGAATATGCACATTAACTGAGCATGCAGTTATTAGGCATTCCAAGAGCTCAACAACTAGGCAACCTCTTCTGAGACAGGCACAGTGAAATCAATGGGAGTTATATGCAGCAACTTGCTTGCACCTACAATTTGGCCCTTAACGTTTTGTATCTGTGACAAAAAAGAAACACCATTTTAAAAAAAACAAACAAATACAGCCTTGTGACATTTCCTATCTTCCAGTATAAAGCATACATTAATAGCTGTTAAACTCCTCCCCCCTGCTGAATGGACAAGATGTTAGGACTATTCAGACATCAATTCAATATGGAGATTATGCAAAAGGAACTATTTCTTCACACAATGCAGTCAGTTTGTGGAACTCCCTGACAGAGGATTTTGTGAAGGCCACGACTATAACAGGGTTCAAAAAAGAACTAGATATATTCATGGAGGAGAAGTCCATCAATGGCTATCAGCCAGGATGGTGTCCCTAGCCTGTTTGCCAGAAGCTGGGAATGGGCAACAGGGATTGGATCACTTGAGGATTACCTGTTTGGGGCACCTGGCATTGGCCACTGTCGGAAGACAGGATACTGGGCTAGATGGACCTTTGGTCTGACCTACTATGGCTGTTCTTATGTTAAGCTTCCCAGTCCTCAAATGGGGAGGAGGGAGGGAGTTTTGGCTTAAGTTTCAGCCTACCATTATGCCACAGTCCAACTCTAGTCATGTTGTGTTTATACAGCACAAAGTTGCAGTTAAAAAGATTCCACCCCCCTCAGAGGAAACCAACAGGTTTAGAGAATTACCTTATTCCCTGTTTCTGAGGCAGTTGGGCAATGGAATGTTTTAACATCTTTAGCTCTTTTGTAAGTGCCTGAAGTTCAGCCCTCTCTTGCTGTTGGACATGCTGCAGTTTCACAGGGTTCAGCTGCCCAAGCACAGCTTTTGACGGTAACGCTTCGACAGCGGCAGGATCCATTTCCTTTCCCAGGACGGCTCTTGCAAGTTGGACTGTTCTATCATAAGACGTTTTCTGAAGTGAAGGCAGAAAGTCAGTGTTTCATTAACAGCGAAAAAAATCAGATGGAAAGTTATTGCACAAGTCAACAGGTTTCATGTTAGAATACAGATATACATTCTTGGTTAAAAAATACTAGTAGAGTAAAACACTCCAGGAAAACTGGTACTAATAGGTCTAATCCAAGCCATTATGTAGGCTTGTTTCATAACCGCGTAGGTAAACTCAAACAGATGTTTTGTGTTACTGTACACAATCTTACCCGATTTACCAAGATACATTAAGAACAAATAATTAGCAGGATTTTTTACACAAAATGCTTTATAGATGTTAATTAGCTAAAGCCTCATGCCACTTTTGTGAAGTAGGCGAAGGCTGTATAGCTCTTCGCCCACCTCTGGAGTGGAACATTGCACCAGTTTAATAGCAGCACTTCTTAACTGTTTAGGGAAAGTTACTAAAATTAGAACTTGCTCAGGACACTAAGCTAAGACTCCTACTGGTGTAAAGACAGTCTGAAGATTTTTAATGACCACAAACAGTCAGGTCTTTGTTATAATGTCTCATCTGAAAAGCAGCATCTCCAGCAGCATAAAGGTCTCTAGTACCATGCTTTATCATTGGTTCACTAGCAACCAATTCAGAAGAAGAGTGCCACTTCTGAATCAGTAACATTACTTCCTGCATCATCTGGGTATTTCTAGAAGACTTCCCATATCTAAGTTCTGATCCAACATGATGCTACATAACTTATGAAATACAAAGATCACAGCACACCCACACAAGAATTCTTCGTATCCTTTAAGCCACCCGCACTCGCAGCCACAACTCCTTCTAGGGTCCCTGAATCATAACGCTCTCCAGAGAGCTGTCAGTGCTGTTGCTCATTTTCTATAGGTTGCTGTTTAGTACCACAAGAAACTCCCACCCCCTGCACACACAGGAAGATATTCTGGGAATACAGAACATTAAACTACAAGGCCTATCTAGTCGATATAAAAACTATTACTTGAAGTGAAGAAAGGAAACAAAAAAATTGGCAGCATTAATCTTGCATTGTAGTTTATACGTTGTGGGCCAGTTACCATTTGTACTATCTCTTTTTGCACTTTCTCTCGCTGTGCGAGCAGCAGCTCCTTTGTCTGAATCATGCTGGTTAGTTCCTTTTGTAGATGTAAATATTTTGCCTGTAAAAGAAGTTTTCATCTTAGTATCTCACACACAGGTTCTTTAAGTACTATATAAAAATACGAAGCATTTCCAGCTCATGAAAAATTATTTTTTAAAAATGCGGAGCGTGCAAAAATAGAGCAACTATTGGAGCTGGTTCCTCACCAATCAGTATTGCACATGACTTTGCTTATATTGTTATACACATTTATAGAGCTATTCTTCATCAACATATCTCACCCTAGGATGGCCAGTATCTGTTTTTATTAAGATATGTAAATTATAAGCTTTATTTTTGTGTTACTGTACAAACACTATAGGACCCTTCCAAATCTATTCCAGCCTTGCAGCTTTTCAGGCCATTAGGTTCCCAAGGGATTTCAATAGGAAATTAGTTGGCAAGGTACTCCAAATTATTTAAACCAAAATGTTACAGGGACTAGTCTGTGTGACTGTGTGTAATACGCTCTTAGCAGAGTTATGACCAGGGCCAGGGTTCTCCAGCAATTAAAACAAGTAATTTCAGATTTTCAAAGCTGTATATTTTGGAAATTTTTGATATGCATTATATTCATACAAAAAAGAGTGTTTTGTATTGTAATACTGAGGGCTACAGCCAGCTGTGCAGGGGAAGTGGGGGACAGATGCTGAGCACTGAGCGCTAGAGCCAGGCCAGCTGTATGCAGAGGAGGTGGGAGACAGACACTGGGTACAGAGGGCTGGAGCCAGGCCAGCTGTGTGCTGGGGGAAGGGAGCAGGAGTCAGCTGTGCAGGAGAGGTGGTGGACAGATGCTGGGCACTGAAAACCTAGAGCCAGCTGTGAGCTGGCTCCTACCCCTCCTCCCAGCAATGTGCCAGGGGAGAGGTGCTGTGGATGCTCCCAAGAACAGGCGTGAGCACCGTCTGCTCTGCAGCCTGGCGAGGGAGCCAGGTGCCCCGCTGTCAAGAAGCTCTGCGACGGTTTTGTCAAGCCCAGGACTGTGTGAGGAGGGGAGAAGTTGAAAGCAAGGCTCAACAGCAGCCAGCCCCCAGCCTCTGCCCTGGGGATGAGTTAAGTGTCTCTAGGCAGAAATCGGGGGGGGGGTATGCACATGACCATGCATGCCCCACCCATGTGTCAGAACTACCCCAGGCTCTTCCCTGTGCCTTATGGATGAGCCAGGTGTCTCCAGGCAGAAATCTGGAAGGGGGTGGAGCGGTGACCCTGCATGCCCTAGCACCCTCTGATCAGCGATCCTAGAAATGAAGAGTCATTTCGGAAAAAATGCAGCAACAGCAGCAATTTCCAGAAAACACTGTCCCTAGTTGTGACCATACTAAGCCAGTAGGTTCATACTCTTATCATAACCTCAACCCTGCAGACATTGATCAAGCAGTTTAGAACCAGTTAGCTGCTTTCGCTCTTTCCCAAACTTATTCTCTCACCAGACTGACTGCCCTGGAGACCTCCATTACAGATGGAGCACCAGCAGTACAAGCTTCCCCAATTGCCCTGCTAATTTGCTTCACTTCTGACACATGGATCAGCATGGGGTATAAAAGGGTGCCCATTTAATCTCTCACCTCTTTTCTGAGACTACTAAAAAGGGGGCAAATCATACTCCTAGGGGAAGTATGTGCCGAAACTTTAAAAATTCTGTGCACAGTATTTTAAAATTCTGCAAATTTTATTTGTCAAAGTAACATAATATAATCACACCAGTTTCAATTATTTCGGTAATTTGTTTCAAATGCCTGTCAGCAAGTATGTCAACAATGCAGACAACAAAAATGATTCCCCCCCAGGAGTAGAGACTTAATGAAATCCCTCTAACAACCCAATTCCAGTTGGGGGGTGCTGGAGAGGGCTGTGTGGGGCCCCCAGCTCCGAGACATACCCCCCCTTCCTCCCAGGGCCCAGGCACAGGCTCTGACCTGTGCACTCTGTCCCATGGGGGACAGGGTGCGGCCCTGGCCTTCCTCACCCTTTGCCAGAGCCAGGTCTCCCAGGCCCACAAGGATCAAGCCGGTCAGCCAGAGCATGCAGAGGATCCATCCTCGCCAGGCTGGCCAAGCAGCCCCAATTCTGCAGGAAAACATGAAATTTTGCACAAACTCTACATTGCACAGTGGTGCAGAATTCCCTCAGGAGTAAAATTAGTACCAGGACACATGGTCTTGTGAGCTACCTGTCCACTGGCTACTGGATAGAGACCAAACAAACACTACAGGGGCAGCAGAGGGCACTTGAGCTACCCTAAGGGAAAAATTCCCAGTGACTGTGCAGGGGAACACACCAAGAGCGGAATGCATATGTGCAATCACTCAGAGAAGAACACAACTTTGTGGCAACAAAGTGATACTAAAGGTTTAGAATCTGGTTTCTGATTAAAAAACGTGCACTATTACAGTGAGACCAATAGTTCCATGTGCCCTCTCCCTAGTTTATTTAGGAAAAAAAAATGACAACTAAACAGATCCTTGTGATCCTTACATTTTAAGATGGAGGCTAAAATACAGACAGACAATCTTACCTTCAACTTCTGTGCTTGTTCTTGGTTTTTCATGTGTCGAAGAAATTCCATATCTTCTTTAGTGCATTGGTAGCCTTTTATTCTGTTAATCATCATGGATATATTCATCTCACTCAACCCTAGTCACGTACAGAAAAACAGTTCTCAAGGAACCAAAAGCTGACATCGAGGCTCACTACTGCCAAGTATCTGCATATGCCCCAAATCTTAGGTCAGATCCGGTGCCACTGTCTTGAATGGGAGTTAGTAGCATCAACTTCAATAGGTATAAGATTTAGCTCTTAAAGTGCTCTGACAATTATTAGGTGAGCAAAAAGTCACTTATTAGCATGGTAAAAACAGGAAGGGAGCTGTCTGCTTTGTAGTCCATAATACAATATTTCAAAGCAAAGACTTCCTTCCCAATCACTTATCAGGTGCAATAGAGGATGGCACTCGGAAAAACAGAGCAAAGGGAATTTTAAATGAAGATATCCCACTAATCTATCTTTAAAATCACAATAAAAAGTATGTTGCCAGTCTCAGACACCTCTTTTAGAAGCTGCAAAGAACAATCATTAAAGAGCTTTAGGCCAATAAGCCACAAGATCAGAAATATTTTCAGTCTGTCATAACTTTTTGAGAGTGAGAGAAAGCAGAACTTCAAGTTTAACAGTTAATGTGCTCTAGTATGATAAATGGAATGAAGGATCGGTAGATAGATTGCAAACAGGAAAATGCTTCTAATAACAAAATCTATTAAAGCTGCAGATTTGTCTCCTTGGGAAGTGTTGGAAGACCTGTAAATCATTTTAAACAAGGCTGGACAGCAAGAGAAATATATTGTGAAGAATCTGGCAAGAAGGGGTGAGGAAAGAAGAGAAGATAGAATTCCTGTTATCAATTCTCCAACTTCTATTATACACAGTGTTACAAAGATGTGAAAATACATGGGTTTGCGCATATCCCCATTCAATTTGGTGGGACGCTGCACAGCTGGTGCCTACCATTATTAAAGAAGCACTAGACACAGCTACTATGAAGGAAAGGCATCTCTTCTGTAGAAGCGTGGTCCATTACATAAAAAAAAAAAAAAAAAAAGCTAAAATCAGAAAATGGGGACTTCATGATAGCACTTTTCCCACAGAGATTCAGGTACAAGGCCTCTGAATGGCAAAGGAGAATGAAAGTCATTTACTTAGTCCAGCGCTTGGTCAACTGATTTGATTTAGCTTACTTTTGTTTTGAGTTTCTTCTAGTTCTTTTGTATTAGTATTTGTTCTAACAAGGTATCCTGAGGACAGTAACAAGAAAGGCAGATTTAGTGCTCTCATTCACCCAGAGTTGCATATGTAACCTGGGTTTTAAAACAGTCTAAAGTTAGCTTGTAGCTATGAAAATAGGCACTATTAAAAATTAAATGAAAGTTATTGCACTACTGAAGTCTGAGGTCTTCACATCCATCCTAAATTTGCACGAGAATTGTGATACAATTTAGGAACATACGCATTAGCAAACTAATGGACAAGTGTGTCTAAACAGAAATAACTATACATACAATAAAACCAGTACTTGCCTTGAACGGGTATCTGACTTAGTCTTCTCCTGTTTGCTGAAGTAGTAGTGAAACACTTTGGTACTGGAGAATCTTCCAGAGGTTCAACTCTTTCTTGTAATTCTTGCTGTAAAGGGCACACCCAGAAATGTAAACCATAAACAAAATATTCATAGAATACATAAAGAATATAAGCTTCTTTGCATGGCTGTTGAACAGATTGATAGAAGTCAGGAGCAGGTTTATATACAGGGATCCAACATACACGTGTTTTATCACACTGAGTGCTCCATCCTGTCTAAGGCCTGGTCTATACTAAGAAATTAGGTTGGTATGCCCCTAAGCGATGCAGTTAAACCAACCTTACCCCGGAAGTGACAGCACTAGGTTGATGGGAGAATTCTCCTGTCAACCTAGCTACTACCTCCTTGGGAAGTGGATTACATATGCCAATAGGAGAACCCCTCCCACTGACGTAGGTATTATCTTCACTGAAGTGCTACAGCAGTGCAGCTGCAGATGTGTAGACAAGCCCTTAGATTAGTCAAAATGGGCTGTGGAAAGCAGATAATAGCTATAAATGCCTTAATACAGGGGTGGGCAAATTTTTGCCCCAAAGCCACATCTGGGAATAGAAATTGTATGGCAGTCCATGAATGCTCAAAAGATTGGGGTTGGGGTAGAGGCTTGTGGTGGGGCCAGTAATGAGTTCAGGGTGCGGGAGGGGGCTCCGGCTGGGGGTGCAGACTCTGGGGTGGGGTTTGGGATGGGGATGAGGAATATGGCATGTAGGAGGGTGCTCCAGGCTGGGACCGAGAGGTTTGGAGGGAGATCAGGGCTGGGGCAGGGGGAGAGGCTCGGGGTGCAAACTCCAGGCAGCGCTTACCTCAAGTGGCTCCCAGAAGCAGAGGCATATCTCTTCTCCAGCCCCTACGTGGAGGCACAGCCAGGTGGCTCTGCATGTTGCCCCGTCCGCAAGCACCGCCCCTGCAGCTCCCATTGGCTGCGGTCCCCGGCCAAAGGGGGCAGTGCTTGGGGCAGGGAAGCGAGCAGAGCAGAAGCCCCTGCTTCCGGGAGCCATGTGGTGCAGCCCCTGATGCTGCTGCCCTTCTGGAGCACCAGAGCAGAACAAGGCCTAGACCCTGCTCCCCAGCAGGAGCTCAAGGACTGGATTAAAATGGCTAGTAGGCCAGATGCAGCCCACGGAATGTAGTTTGCCCACCCCTGCCTTAGTAGTATGTTCCTGGGAAACATCACTTTTTCTTAGTGAATTATTCTTTCTTTAGGAGGTTTACCATTCTTAATTTTTGTTTTTAAAAAAAGACAGAGCTCCTATTTAAAGACAATCTGGGAAGTTACCATGGGCTTTGCGAATAGTTTTAGAGGCATTTATAAAAATAACATACACTTTCTAAACAACTATAGGCCCCAGTCCTGCAACTGGATTCGTGAAGGCAGATACTTAAACCCTACTGATTTCAACAGGGCACTGTGCAGATGTAAGGATTTGCCCACAAAAAGCCCTATTTAAGTAATTATACCTCCGCATGGGCACAAAGATCTGCCTGCACAAGCTGAATGCAGGTTCAGAATCTAAACATGCAACAAACTCCTGAAGAACTGTGGTGTGGACTTCAAACACAATCTAAAGTATTTTATTTTAAAGTCTCTTCTTACTCCTAGCTATAAGTCTATGAGAGCGAGTGACAAATCCGAGCAGTCACCTTACAGTTAGTAGCCTGTTAAACCGTATAGTTTGTACTAAATGTAAAAGGGTAAATCCTGTAACTTAAGAGTGTAATACTTGGTTACAATAGACTGTGAGATATTTACAACTCTATTTCAATCACTACAAACATTCAGGACTTTGAATTCAAATATGCCAGTTTCCTACTGAAACCAACTTGCTTTTGGATTAAAACTTTCTGATAAGCACACTAATAATAGGGAATTGAAAGTTAAACTTGGTCAAAATCCAGGTCTTGCTTTTATAAAAGGAACACTATCAACCTGACTGCTTTCAAAAAGTAACTAATTTAAAAAAAAAAAAAATCTATTTCCTAACATAGGATATATGCTGAGATTTTTTTTAAATCATTATTTTGATTTTTACTTTTTAAAAAGGTGTTTTTCTGCTTCCATATTTATGTTTAAGTATATTTTCAATAAGGGATTAAAAATGACTACAAAAGAAAAGTGAAACTATACAACGTGCTGTCAAATGTACAAAACACTGTTGCTAATTTTTCATTAATAATAATTTTAAGTGTGTCATTTATTACTCTAGTAGTTCAATCTTTTTGGACACAGTTTTCAAGTTGCCAATGTCCCTTTAAATTTGTGAGATAGCACAGTATGATTTTAATATTCAAAATACCACTATGCCTTTTCCTCAGCCCCTCTTCAAGTCTGACCTGATTTTAGTGTTCAGAATCTTGAACTCAGTAAACACAGTGTATCCCATCTGAGATCATGTAATCCCACCTTTAAAATGGTATACAGCACCAATCATTTAGTCTAGGAGTTTGAGAGAATATAAACTGCTCTAGAAAATACTGGATATTAGAGCTGGGGTAAAAAAGGGGGAACAACAATCAGAATAACCTTATTTTCAAGTATGGGTGCTACGGATTTTAGTGATATTCAACAATACTGAGTATTAATAGTAAAACTTCTCAACCATCTCACAAGTCCCAAAGATGTGTACTGCATAGTGGTTCCACCTCTCAGCAGAGAAGCACTTCCACCAGGGATTGGGTGGTACAAGTACTAAAACAAAACAGCCACCACTACCAAGAGAATGAAATCATCACTCAGTCTTTCAAGATCTTGATAACCAGGCTGGATCGATTTAAATCACAGTGGTTCAAATAACCAAATTTTAATTTAGTTGTGCATTTGTACTTTTTAGTCGTTTTCTTGAAGAAAAAGTTAATTCTCATTGTATGGTAACCATTAAAAGATATTGATTTGCAACTAGATATAGCTCGCTTTCTAAATTTGGCACTTCTTGCTAACCAGGAAGACAGTCTATATCTATACACATTTTATTTAAGCAATTATATAGCACAGCATTCATTTATTCAGATTTACAATTTTTAATGTTAAAAATGGTGAATAATGCGTTTCTTTTGTAGATTTTTTTTTTTTACTAGTGGTTTCTGTCAAGCTGCTTATGGACTAGAAATTGGAACTCAATTAAAATTCAGTTAAATTCAAGTAAACCGCATTTTTAAATTGTTTTATTAAATAAAACTACCTTATATGTGTTAAGCTTACTTGCTTACACATTTGCTTTTAAAACCGATTTACTAAACAAAGTTAATCAATTGATAGATTGTTTCTAGTCACTATGGACCAGATTTTCAAAGGTATTTTATGTGGGATTTTCAAAAGTTCTTAAGCAGGTTACAGTGCTTAACAAATTAGTGGGAGTTAGACAACTAATGCATTTAGAAGGTTCTGAAAATCCCACTAGTTGCCTATCTGCATCTTTAGATAATCTGGCCCCATGTGCTTCTACTAATTCTAAAATCTTGATCTGACCGTCTCCCACCAGGTTTTTATTTATAGACAAAAAAAAAACAACTAACCTCTGGCACTGATAGAGTTGATTTGCAAAGACTAAGATTACTGATAGGGTTTCAGTGTTACATAGTCAAACTTCATAGGTCACCGGAAAGGGAACTGTTTCACAGTGTTTTCGACAGACATGCCCAAATGTCTGCAGAACTACTGGATTCCCATACCCCCCCACCCCCCAAAGTTGCACGTTTATGATAGAGTTAAAACTGCAGGTAAATAATTTTATAAGACCATTATTTGCACAAGACACAATAGCAGCTCTAAAGTACCTGAAAGAAGACATCCTACCTCATCCTCAACTAGAGATGGTGCCACCTCCTTGCCATTTGCTGTATTGCCAGAGATGCCGTGGTTGTCGTCAGGCTGCTGTGTACACTGGCAAATGGAATCTTTTTTCCTAGTGTAAACCCATGCATTTGAGGCACGAGTCTTTACAGAAGTCTCCTCCCTCAACAGTTTCTCCAACACATCAGCAATCTGAAACTTAAGTGTATCACATTCTGAATGACTAGGTCCAACTACACCTGTTGAATGTCTCTCATTCAGTACTGTATGGTCCTTTAAAGCTTCTAGCAACAATTTCCCTTGTTGATTTGTGTAGAATGGGGTACGAGGAAGTTGTCTCCCTGTGGGAATAATATTGTCTTTAAAAGTTGTTATACTCCATTCTCCTAATTTGGGCATTTTTTTTGAAGAGTAATATTCTTCTCCCACGAAATCAGATGATTGAGATGGCAACAGTTGTAGGATCCCTGGCGCAGGAGTTCTTGGAGTTTGCAGACCAAGACTCAGAATGTTCTGAGGAGCTGAACAAAGGCTCTCACATTTGACTTCATTTTTTTTATGGTATTTGCCATTCTCTCTCTCAGTCATTTTAAGATCACTAATTTCACTGAGAATATTTTCAACTTCATCTTTATTCAGGGCAGTTTTAAAGACACTTCCATCTAATTTCCTTGTCTCCATGTCTTCTCTCAGTCGCAAAAAACGTCACATGTAGTCAAAGGAAAATGTGAAGAAAAAAAAATTAACTTTCTTTAACCCTCATAACACAAAAGATTAATAACAAAGTACTGAAAAGTCTCCTTTATAATATCCCAAGAAAGAAAAAAGTAAAAGTATAATTATTTTCATATAATTTGAGACAAAACTCCATCTGAAGTACAGTTCTACTCAGCAAAGATACTGTAAAAAGGCCACCTACTTATTCAACGGTTCTGCTCTACTTGTGTATTCAGAATCAAATCTATTTACTTAACTGACTAAAGTGTATAGCGTTGTTAGCCCTGCAAAGCCAGTACAACAGTGGAAAAGCTGGATTGTCTTCTGGCTCACTGATCAACAGATTTGTGGCCTTGATCACGGATACTAAATTTAAAATTGCCAATATTCTGATTGAAGAACATTTTGGCTCTGAGGTAATCTGGAAGAACCTGTCTTTGCTTTTAAATCCCCAGTATAAATTTGCACGACTTGTAGTTAGAAAAATCAACATGTTGCTCATAAAATGAGCATTTTAGCTTGAGTCTCAGAGTCGTTAAACAAGGAACCTCATGATGTCATTTTTACAGTCAATTTTCAAAGTAGAATTGCACTTGGAAGATCCTGAGAATATCCGAGCTGCAGACTTCCTGGATTCTCTGCCAGAGCAAGTAACATTGCGAAGAATTACAACAGGCAACTGCCATGACCAATGCAACATTTTACTCCAGACATGTCAAAGGCTGTAATCACTGAGGACTCTGCAGGACAAGTTTGAATTCTGAGTTCCAGAGTGCATCTTTGAGGGTTAAAATAAAAAAATTAAAACCAAACATTTTGTATCTGTCTCCCCCCACTTCTGTAAAATTTCTGCCTCCTCCAAAATGAAAGGGAAGTTAAAAAAAAAAAAATCAAACCCAATATCTTTGGGCTTAAACTGTGAATGAGAGTTTCAGGCCAAAGGGAAAAGATGCAGAAAGTTGGGAGGCCCAGAAATAGGAGACTACAAGGGGTACAGCCTCCAGTGTAAGTTTCTTACAGTACAGCCATTACCTAAACTAACTAGTGGAGACACCACAAGTCTGCAGGCCTTGTCTGTTTAGGAATAGTCCTGGTGCAGCCATCACTGTAGCTGCTCCAGTACTGATCCTGAAAAAAATAGACAAGGGCAAGCCAAGGCTTGAACCAGCTGAGTTTGAAATTGGGGTTGTCAAGGTTCCTCCCCCACTCTGAACTCTAGGGTACAGATGTGGGGACCTGCATGAAAACCTCCTAAGCTTACTTTTACCAGCTTAGGTTAAAACTTCCCCAAGGTACAAATTAATTTTATCTTTTGTCCTTGGAATAACCACTGCCACCACCAAACTCTAACTGGGTTTACTGGGAAACGTAGTTTGGATACGTCTTTCCCCCCAAAATCCTCCCAACCCTTGCACCCCACTTCTTGGGAAAGGTTTGGTAAAAATCCTCACCAATTTGCATAGGTGACCACAGACCCAAACCCTTGGATCTGAGAACAATGAAAAAGCATTCAGTTTTCTTACAAGAAAGTTTTCTTAATAGAAATAGAAGTAAATAAGAGTAAAGGAATCACCCCTGTAAAATCAGGATGGTAGGTACCTTACAGGGTAATTAGATTCAAAACATAGAGAATCCCTCTAGGCAAAACTTTAAGTTACAAAAAAGACACACAGACAGAAATAGTTATTCTATTCAGCACAATTCTTTTCTCAGCCATTTAAAGAAATCATAATCTAACGCATACCTAGCTAGATTACTTACTAAAAGTTCTAAGACTCCATTCCTGTTCTATCCCCGACAAAAGCAGCATACCAACAGACCCAGACCCTTTGTTTCTCTCCCTCCTCCCAGCTTTTGAAAGTATCTTGTCTCCTCATTGGTCATTTTGGTCAGGTGCCAGCAAGGTTACCTTTAGCTTCTTAACCCTCTACAGGTAAGAGGATTTTTCCTCTGGCCAGGAGGGATTTTAAAGGGGTTTACCCTTCCCTTTATATTTATGACACGGGTAAATCGTATATTAGTTTGGTGCTAACTCCAACTCATCCTTGGCCTTCTTTATAGGAAAGAAACTGTACTGGTTTAACAAAATTCATTTTAAATCAGTCCTGTTAAACCACTGCAAGCCCCCAACAAAGGTGAACTTCAGCCAGTTTAGCACCGGCTTAGAACTAATTTAGTTAAACCTGGGGGGCTTGCCTACACAGAGCTGCACCCATTTAGCTAAAGGTGAGATTAAAGGAGGCAATGCAGCCTGGGGGCTAGAGCACAGGACTGGGCCTCAGGAGACCTGGGGTCTGCTCCTGGCTCTGCAAGGCCCTGTCCCTTCCTCTTCCTAGTTACCTCGACGCTTGCAGTGGTGTGTAGCACACCCCGCGCACCAAGTACGGCTGGAAACAGCGGTGTGGACAGCAAGTCCCCTACGGGGCTCGCTACACACCCCAGCGGCGCCTCCCATCTACTCTGCTGGTTGCAGCAGCGGGGTGTCCCGCCCGGGGCCTGCCCCTGCCGCGCCCGCCCGCGCAGCCCCGGCCCCTCGGGCCTCAGGCTCTGGAACCCCGGCGGGCGGGGTCTGGACCCAACCTCCCGGCAGGGCCGCTGGGGGGCCGTGGTCACTGCCAGGCCCCGAGGGCCCGCCCCGCTGCTGCAGCCAGCCCACCCCCGAGCACCCCGTGACCCGACAGAACCAGTTCCACCCCAGCGCGAGTCTACACAGAGGCGCCTAATCCGAATTCAGGGAACTCGGGGGAAACGGCTGCGTCACGAGCCCCGGGCAGCTTCGCCGCGGCCCAGCGCCGGAGCCGCCGCCCGGGTGTCGGGGGGAGCGGGACACCCCCGGCGTTGGCTGGCTGGCTGGCCACCGCCCCGCACCTTACCCGCTGCAGGCGGCCCGGGCCTTGTAACCGCTCCTGCCGCAGCGCCCGCCGCTCTTTCGAACCGCCGCTCCTCGCTTCTCATTGCGCGGAACGACCAGCGCCAGCCGATTGGCCTGCTGCTCCCGGCCCCTTGACTGGCTACCTCGCCAGCCAATCAGGGGCGAGCAGCCACCCGCGCCCACCGGGCTTGCGCGTTTCCACTGCCGTGAGCGCTGCTGGCGCCTGACTCAGACAGGGCAGGGAGGGGAAAGCTACTGCGGCCCTTGTTCCAACGGGGCTCCTTGTAAACGCCCCCCGGCCCTGGGTCACACAAACCATCTTCTAGGCGGTGTGTGCGGTCCAGGCCCTTGAGGAAGGGGAGGAGAGAATTCTCTGTCCTGTATTTTCAGAGACGGTCACTGTAACTGGAGAATCATGAACACTCACATCCTGATAAACTGTAAGGGATGAAATGGAGTCAGTTTGGATCTAATTCACAACAGTGTAAATCTGAAGCAAGTGACATGAATTACACCAATGTAAATGAGAGCCAAATCAGGCCCAGGTTAATAATCTATAGTGTCAATACAATCTCTTCATTCCAATAAAAGATACACCATGCTAACAAAATGCACAAACTATTTCAATTCCACCTCATACAGGTGCCATACTTTGTCAGCTCCGACGGATCAGTCATGCTCCATTTTCAAATCATAACCTCTGAAAAAACAGTAGTGACACCATTTCTAGCACTGACTGCAAAACATTGAAGCGCTAATAAGGGCTAAACAGAGGGCACCTAAGCATATGTCTACCCTTCAATACCCTGCACCTGCATATGTCTACCCTTCATTTTTTGTGTCATGTACTTATCCTTAGGATGAATAAAAAATTAACTGAGTCAAAAAATCACTGCAGGATTTGCTCTGCAGGATCATTAGCAGATTTTTAGAGCTGAAATCTTTCCAAACGCTGGTTAAAGAATTCAGATACTAAAGTGAGTACAACAATATAAATGTCTACATAGACAAGATGACCAAACAAAAAGAAAGGGCACACGACTTTCCTCAAATGTGCAGGAGGATGGCAAAGGATCCGGATGATGGGAAAAATGTAGGAAATACAAATCTAGTTTTATTGAGACACCACATGTCTAGTACTCAGATTTTCCATTTGTACTTCCCATGAAAGATGGCACCTGCAGAAGCACAGCGTCTTCTAGGGCCAAGTTGAGGTATTGTTTCAGTACTACATTCACCACCTATTTCCTATAAGTCGATACCAGAAGTGAAGACTACAAGTAGGTCTGCCATGATAGTCTTATGTTCCCAGCCTACCCTAGCTAGAACTGCTAGGAGCCAGCCTAATCTGCCACTGAGAGAAGAGGGGAGAAACAGCTCATCTCTCCATGAAATTCCTGCCTCAGGCCCTAAACACTCATGTATGCAGAATGAGCTTCTTCATCAACCACAGATGACTACTTCAAGACCACTTTCTTCCCCTCAGTGACAGTGTCCCTTTTCACACAGGGATTCTTAACAGGCAAACCTGGAACAAACTAAGCAAAACTGGGAGTTCCCCTCATAAGCCTCAAAATGCCTGTACAGCCAGCTACTCTTCTGAATAGCCCTCCCTATCTACACAAACAAACAAAAACAAAAACCATAATTGGGTGAAAATTTGTCATTTTGTTATACACAGTATTTCAACCATCAAACCTCTGAATAAAAATGTATAACCATCAAGTCTTCAGCATCTGTTAGACTTTTACGGCTTTCAGACTGAAAACAATTAAAAGCTACTGTGAAAAATCAGAGTCTTGTATTGAAACCATCTGTCAAACTAAACTATCCAAAGACACTTGTTCTGTTGATGATTCCTCCATGTAAGAAGAAACTGCTTTGTTAACTCTACTATTCTAATCAGTACATCAAGTGTTTGGGATTCGGTTAAAAGTTCATGGCAGTTCTCAAGTAACAGCAATGTGAATCCCTGGTACTATCCTCGCGCTAGTGACTGTGTATTGTGAAAGAATCATAGGGAGAATGGCATGTTGACAAGAAGCGTAGAGTCAAGAAGGAAAGGAACTATCAATATCTAACGTTATAATTACCCAGATTGTTATGATGACTAAAATTTGTAGAATATCTTTCATACCCAACACCCTTTACAGACTGAACCACTTTACCCACCAAAGGCAGCCACCTCTGAGGTAAAATGGGACAGTTATTTCCCAACACACAGTAACATTACACAACATCTTAGCAAAAACAACAAGGAGTCCGGTGGCACCTTAAAGACTAACAGATTTATTTGGGCATAAGCTTTTGTGGGTAAGAAGCCACTTCTTCAGATGCATGGAGTGAAAATTACAGATGCAGGCATTATATAATGACACATGAAAAGAAGGGAGTTACCTCACAAGTGGAGAACCAGTGCTGACAGTGAGTGAGGACAAATACCATATCCAGCTGACACTGATGGGGGATTTAGGCAGACATAATACAATTATCCAAATTTGAATTTGGCCAGGACACTGCAGTCAGCTAGTCTGTGTGTTGAAAATGTGTCATGAGATTTTTAATGACTGTGGAGGACAAGAATTGGTCCCAACAGCACTGTGTCTCTAACACTATGCCAAGGTAGGGATTTAATATTGACTCAAAAGGAAATATGCCACTGATGCCCCAATTGCAAGTAATGGAACTTGTTTGAAAATCCTGTTTAAAAACAGAGCAGTTCAAACAGTTCATGCTAGGCTGGCAACACTATGGTTTTACTTTGATGTTTCAGAGGCAAGAAATGTGTTTTGCACTGCAATGCATCGTTACAATTTATGGCACTATATGTATTACTAATAACAATCTCCATGCTACAGAGCTACTTGTATAAAATAGCTACAGTGTATAATTATTTCTTTCAGTTACTACAGATCATAGACCTATCACAATCATTCAAGAGTCCATCCTTCTTTTATTTTTGGCCCAGATGATTTAAGCAAATGTGTGTGTTTGCAACAGAGAAAAACTAACCAAGGCAGACAGATGTTGGACATATCTGCATTAGTAATGAAACTAAAAAGCCTGAAAGGGACTTGGCAAATACTATAAACCGAGTGCTATTGAAAAGTCCTGTAATTCATGCTTCAGTTAATATATATTTCCTATTAATGAAATTCAATCCTGATGGGAGCTGGCAATAAAACAGAAGTAGTGCATGAGTTTTTGACATTAAAATATAAATCCCTTGTATGCTGCACTCTAATGTAGAAGCTAGATTTCAATTCGAAATAAGATTTTTATAATAGTAGGATTTTTTTTTTTCTGGATGTAGTGTTAAAGGTGAACTACGTTGCTTTAACAGGTAAACATGTCAGAATCCAAATTAGTAATGGACTTCAAAATTACAAGTAAATTCATGAAAACATATACACAGATACATAAACAAAATACAGAAAAACCCTATTTAGTTCAACCTCATTAGTCCAAAATTCCCTCTGATAGGAACCTAGATTATGTCACTTGATGTGAATCGTTGATCAGTAACTGCCTCAATTACTCATCCCTCCAATTATTTTATTATCCCCAAAATGTTCAAATGAAATGAGATTTCATTTACAATAATTTTCTCCATCATTTACCTGCTCTGTAAACAGTTGATGACAAGAAAACCAGATGCCCTGCACTGCTTTAAGCATCTATGATGTCATCAACTCTGGCAAGACAAATTTAGAAGCTTGCATTCAGCTTTTGGCAGGTGTCCTTCCTTTTTCTGTGTAAGAAAAATATCTAGATCCATATGCTTCCTAGTGCTGGCTGTAGTTTAACATTACAAGATCGGGTTTTAAGCAGTCCTGGCAATGGTTGTGCAGCACTTTCCTTTGCAAGCAAGAATTATGGGTGGAATTCTTTTGGAGCATTATGCCATTTATTGGGTGGTGCCAGCATCTTTAAGGAAACGATTCAAAACATGTTCAGTTTTCTCAGTAAACAAGTTGACTACAGGCCTCCATGAATGTAAGGTGACATTCTACAGCAAAGGATATAATATCTGTACAGACAATCATAATACCCCATGGGTGATGGGCAAGGAAGCCAGGCCCATACATAGGAAGGGTGGTCGTTGGGAGATAAATTGGGAAAGGCACAAACAAAGAACTGCAAATGCATCCTTTCTGTTGTACAGATTACCTGAAGCCCTAGCAATAGAAGTATTATTTAAACCTACCCAAATTGCTCAAATGCACTACAAACAATTCCAAGAATGGATGAATTATGGATGAGGACGGTATTTTGAAGAAATAAAAGGTCTGTGTGGGGCGACTGGATAGGCAGAATAGGTATGGGAGTTGGAATACTAAATGCAGGCAATATAGAAAATCTGCAAAGGAAATTAGGTTATTCCACGAATATAGGAGACAATCTATGGGAGGTGGGCCAAAGGCAGGTGCAATTCCTAAAAACCAGCACAGTCCTCACGGAACATTTAAAAATTGCTCTCCTTAATCTAATCTGCAATCCTAATTGGGGAAAAGGCTATGCTAAATGAGACATGGGCCAGACAATTTGCTATGGCTGAATTACATTTGTTAAGCGATGTTCAAGGTATAATTAGGAGCTTATTCCATGGACACTGGCCAGTAGAATGGAATTCTTTCTATTCTGTAAAAGTGAACGTTAGTTCCTGAATAGATCCCAGGTGGTGGAAGGTTACACTTTTAAATTGTGAATGGACCCAATGTACTGTGCTGGCCTTCAGTCCCTTGAATGGAACTCTCATAAATACCTATCCAATCATTAATAATGGCATTTTACATAATGAGTCATTCATATACCCTATGAAAGGTAATAAATGGGCAGTAAAGAACAAGGCAGCAAGGCTTGGTAATGCAGATTTCTCTGTATGTGTAGAGGATATTCAAGAGGGGTGGGTTTATCAGCCAGGATAATTGCAATTGGTAAAAGGTGGGTGTGGGAACACGAGTGAGCACTCCCATCTTTTGGGTCCCGAGCCATATTACATACTTAGGGAATGGAAAGGTCTGTCTCTAATAAATTTGTTAGTCTCTAAGGTGCCACAAGTTCTCCTTTTCTTTTTGCGGATACAGACTAACACGGCTGCTACTCTGAAACCTGTCAATACTAATAATGTGTCAAGTGTCACCTTGGAAAGGCACAGAAATTGTGTAAAGGTCTCAGAAGGCACACAATACAGCAAAGTGTCATTAAAGAGTATAAAATTGGGAAATGAAAATTGGCAAATTGTGCCCCACATTATCACTCAAAATATAACCTGGTTGGGGGAGATTTGTTTCATAATATAAAATTAGAGATTCCGCTATCAATGCATTGGAGAGCCTTGCTGAAGTCTGCAGAGGTTGTATGGGGCACTGCTTAAGAAACAAGCAAGACGTCACATATCCTCAGGTTAAGTATGGGTGAGGATGTGAACACTATCACAAAATTGGGAAAAGACATTACAACAGCAGGAGCCAATAACTGGTGGGATGACTTAATGCATTCTAACATGGAGACTGAAATACAACACCTGATCCTGCAGCCAGTGACAATCATGTGCCTTATGCAAGGGTTAATTATAATCTCTGTGTTTTTGCTTCGTAGGGTGGTTGTGTTTATATCGACGCAAAATGTTCAGCAAGACCTTGTGTGTTCTGGGCCTAACATCCCCAGGCCCATGTATGGCACATTAATTGGCAACAATATCTCATGCCATGCAAGGGGATGTGCCGGCATTCTTGAGATATGTAGGGCACGGAATTGGGTTGTGTGTAAAGAGGCCACGAATAGTAGCCTAGCCCTGCTGGTTGACATTTTATGGCCCAAGTCATGTTTTCCCCAATGGCTGGTAGGGGGCCCACCACATAAAAGTTAATTGAGTGCAGAACCCATATCTAGCATTACTTATGTAGGCATGCCGTGACAACTAACAGTGAACAATGTAAGGACAGGGCTAGGAATAATCATCGAACCGATGGTCACCTGGATCAAAGGACTCTCCCCATGGACTTATTCAGGCAGGACAGAGGAGCAAGACAGTTGGTAGTGCTACTGAAATAATGGACATTCTGTATGGAAGTATTGGACAAGAATGGTAGTACACAGATGGCATCTTGTACCACAAAGGCCACAGATTTGCAGGAATATTAATATGCACCAAGCAGGGGGTGTCACTCCTGGAGACACCCTGAACTGGAAGAAACGGACAAGTACATAACAGAGGACAGAAACATGGCGTAGTGGGTGCACGTAAAACAAGAAAAGGAGGGGATATGTAGGATGTAATATGTAGAATGTATATTTTAAGTGTTGAGACATATGAAAAGATGCCAACTTGTCTGGCAAGGAAAGAGAACAGCCAGGTAAAAGCCAGCAACCTGATCAGGTAAACAACTGGGTCAGCAAACTAATCTTAGTGCTAGGCAGAAAAAGCGTTTATGCAATATACAATGAATAACTTTGCAACACTGTATTTAAGGCGAGCACCTGAATGAATGTGGAGAAACGCTTGCATTTAACCCTATATTGTGCCGTTTCAGTGGACTGATCTCTCACTGAAGCAGCAAATAAACGACATCCTTCTTCAGCTCAAAAGTCTGTCTGTGGAACTGCACTCTGGGTGGCGGGGAAAGAACCAGGTCTGCACTAATAACTTACGCTGGTATAACTATGTCACTCAGGAGTGTGAAAAATCCACACCCCTGAGTGACGCAGTTATAGCGACCTAACCCGTGGTGTAGACAGCACTATGTCGACATAGCTACCGCCTCTCATGGAGTTGGATTAACTACGCTGAGGGGAGACGCTCTCCCAACCCCATTCACTTCAGTGAGATGACTCTCCCAACTCTCATAGCCAGGGTATGCTCCCAGGGGGCCAAATCTCAAGGTCCTTACTCAGGCACCGATGCAGCAAAGCTCTTAGGACCAGATTTTTAAAGGCACCTAACTCCCACTGAAATCAATGTGAGTTAAGCACCTACATATCTTTAAAATTTGACCCTTAAGCTTGCATGTAACTTCAAGCACATAAATAGTCCCACTGATTTCAGTGAGAATAACCGATGCCTAAGTGCTTTGTTGGATCAGGGCATCAGTTGTTAATCATGGAAAGCTCCCAGTGAAGTAAATGGGAGTTCTGCCTGAGTAAGGACTTAGTAAAAACTGAGTAAGGACCTTGGGGTTTGGCCCAGTATTTGTGCTCAATACTATTTCTGGAGTTTGTACTTCTAAAATTACTAAGATTTCTCTTACTGATGCTCATGTCAGACCTTGATGGGTAGTCACTAGGGGAAAATTTACTTCTATGTAATTCATATGCTAATAAGACCACAAACCAAGCCAAGCTGATCAGATTGTGTATGTTTTGGGTTATGAGAAATCATCACCCTGCTTGTAACTCTTTTGTATTTACCAAATCCATACCATGACTGAAATGTCTCCACTGCTAGGAGGACATTGTGAAAGGTCCATGCTCCCCCCATCCCTTGCTCAAAGGTGCACCTTTATGTTTGTTCAGAAAGCTATGTAATTTGGGTTATCTCTGAAAGTATGTTTTCTTTTTTCGGAGTTTTAAGTGAATCGCAGTTATGATAAAACCTGCCAGCACCGTCACCGCGCCAGAAACCGTGTAGGCAATTCCCAGGAAAAGGTTACTCCCTCCACACCACGTGACGGTTGAGAGAACCACCTGCTTTTTCCCTTTTAATTTGGTAACAGGGAAATCTGATGAGGCGACGTTAAAGTTTCATTAACAATCAGGATAAAATATACAGTGAGGAGTGTGCAAAAAATACTCTTCAAAATACACAAGGTGGGGATTTTTGCATTTGTTGTAAAAGTCTTTTATGGTGCTTTTAACTATTCTGTATCCCCTTGCCTCTTGTTACCAGTGGGTCCACAACCCCCAAAATGGCTGGGTGTGGGTAAGAAACTCACACACATCGTGTGCATCTACAGTCTTAGCAAGATTATTGAAATACACCGGATTCTTTAATAATATGATGTCAAATTCATCCTCATATCGCTATGTACTGCACTGGAGCTGCATCATAATATTTAAAGGGCAGCCTGCAAAAATTACTGGGAAATGAGCTTTTTGGGTGCTATTGTAATGAAGAACCTTTTAGCATTTTCCTTGACACTCCAGTCTCTGACATGAGGACACTCCACATAACATTCTTGTTGCATCCCCACCTCTCAATTCTAAGTCACGTTTATTCATCTAAGGCGTTGTCTACATGGGAGAGTTTTACCAACTATGCCAAAATAGTTATTCAGGTGTAACCCCATGTGTGGACATTTTTATTCAGTTTAACTTAAACCCCTTCCCAAGCAACATAAGCCAGTAGCTCTCAACCATCTAGTCCAGTGGTTCTCAACCAGAGGTATGAGTACCCCTGGGGGTACACAGAGGTCTTTCAGGGGGTACATCAACTCATCTAGATATTTTCCTAGTCTTCCAACAGGCTCCATAAATAGCACTAGAAAAGTCAGTACAAACTAAAATTTTATACAGACAATGACTTGTTTATGCTGCTCTACATACTAGACACTGAAATGTAAGTGAAATATTTATATTCCAATTGATTTATTTTATGATTACATGGTAAATATGAAAAAGGAAGCAATTTTGCCATAATAGCGTACTCTGACATTTTTGTATGTTTATGTCTGATTTTGTAAGCAAGTAGTTTTTAAGTGAGGTGAAACTTGGGGGTATGCAAGACTCCCGAAAGGGGTAAAGTAGTCTGGAGAGACGGAGAGCCGCTGATACAAGCCGAGCTAGAAAACAGCCACCCTGTAGTACAATAAGGGACATCTCCATTGCAGCCGGGGATGTTAACGGCAGCTCGTGTAAACGTCCCCGTGCTAGCTGTACTCTAGCTAGCTCACTAAAAACAAAAGTGAAGATGCCGTGGCACAGTCTTCAGCATGGACTCCACAAGCCTGCCTGACTCCCAGGATACGTACTCACTAATGTAGCCCATGCTGAAGTCTGTGCCACGGCATCCTCGCTTCTGTTTTTAGTGAGCTAGCTCTAGTACCTCTAATGCAGAGACGTCTACACAAGCTACCATTCACAGCCTTGACTGCAGTGTCGACATGCCCTAAGTGTGTCCACACAGGTGGTGAGAACAGTATAACTATATAAGTATAAATTCACCCCTCAGGTTATGCTGTGTGGATAAAGTCTAAGCCCTTTTAATTCCCCACCATCTGTACCAAAGCTGGCCTCCAGCCAAAGGTCAGGCAAGCAGTTGCCTTAGAAGTTAGATCTAGTGTCACACGGCCTGATATAGGGCCTTTAAGAGACATGTCTTAACTCCACCAACACAGGCTGCAGGAAATCCAGGGATTCCCCCCAAACTAGATCTCCCTCAGGTTTTTTGTTGTATTACTGCCAAGCCACCATACTAGCAGGCATCTCTTTTTTTACCTGCCTAAAAATTAAGGAGTACCTTGGACATGATGAAAGGATACTGTAGGCAATGTGGAAGGTGTAATTCCCTGCTGGGAGACCATCAGCAAACTGGTTGGTATGGCTGACGCGACGGTAAAGGTTTCTGAACGTGGGAAAGGCTGACACACGCATCCAGATGATTAAGTCGTCGTTTAGATAACCGTTGTTCCTTTCATCCTCCTCATCCAGTAAATAAGCTGGTTTCTGCCAGTAAGGAGGCCTTGTTGTTCCTGGGGAGGAACAGGGATGAGCTATCAATGTTTAGAATGCTGCTAAGACAGGTAGTTCAATTATTTAATCCTTCTGGGTTTCTGATGTTCAACCGAGAATACAGATCAGACAAAGGTTCTGTCCAATATTCACAAGACATAGAGCCAATCACACTTTCCATCCAAAGATCTCAGATCACGTCTCAGACATTAACAAACTGAACCTCACAACACCCCTGTGGGGTAGGTAAATAGTATTAGCCCCATTTTATAGATGGGGAAACCAGTGCAGGAGAGGCAAAGTGTACAGGAACAGTATCCCACTCTAATCATAAGAAAACTTTCCCTCTGCATTTAATTGTTCACCTTTATTTTTCATTTTTGTGCATTGATTCCTTTCTGTATACCTACAAACTGCACTAAAAGAGCAGTAAACATATGCATCTTATTTGTCATTAATTTGAAAAATTTTCTACAATATTTAGAAGAAGAAGAAGAAGAATATTGAAACTACTTAGATGGTTACTTCTTAAGGGACAGGGTCTGTTTTGTTGTTCTGTGTTTGTACAGGACCTACCACCATGGAGTCCTGGGTCCATGACTGGGGCTACTATATTCTACTGCAATACAAACTAAGAGTAATAACAAAACAGTGCTAATGAATATACATTTAAAGATGGAACAAATAGGTGATTCCACTTGGTTAACTCCTTTTGCCCAAGACCTTTAGTGGGTGAGGATGGTGCGGAAAGTAGTGGGGCTTCACTCTCCTGACATTCTAGAACATCTTTTTCTCTTCATAGCATCCCAGTCTCCTCTCTAAATGTGGCATAGTTCCCCATTGAAAAGTTGGAGAAGATCTCGTGAAGTTGCTCTCACAGTGCTTCCTCTGGACAAGTTACCTGCCATCGGGAAGAACACATAGACCCGTCTCCCAGAAATTGTGCATGTCTCAGGAGACTTCCACAAACAGAAGGAAGACTTTTATAATAAGGCAGGGCAGTGGAATCATTCTTACCTGCAAATGCAGAAGAGAGATTGTATGATGTTGGATTCCGAAATTTCACATTTTTATCTGACCACCAACTATTTCCAGTCTTCAACAATGGGACTTGGATAGCAGTGTATGAGTTAAGATAGTAAGAAAGTTGAATAGAATCTGCAGGGAGATCCAAAGTAATACATGTTATTAACAGGTCTGCAACTTCCAATGGTCACTCCAGTAGTCAACATGACCAACTGAAACCTTAAACAGAGAGAAAGAGAGGAGAGAGTCTTGTGAACAAACAGAAAGAAAAGACCGAGAGAGGGTTTTATCATTACTTCATCATGTACACATTCTGCGTGCCTCAGAAGTAAAGGACCATTCAAATTTCCTGAGTAAGAGCACCCTTGGAAGTTTTAAAAGCTGACCGTTTCCCTACTTAATGACAGGTTTCAGAGTAGCAGCCGTGTTAGTCTGTATTCGCAAAAAGAAAAGGAGTACTTGTGGCACCTTAGAGACTAACCAATTTATTTGAGCGTAACATCCAATGAAGTGCACTGTAGCTCACGAAAGCTTAGGATCAAATAAATTGGTTAGTCTCTAAGGTGCCACAAATACTCCTGTTCCTTTTGCGTATCCCTACTGAAAATTCTCCTTGCGTCACCATGACAGAATATCTACAGCTGCATTTCATTTACATTCCTTGATTCCTCTGTGATCAAATTCTTGGGATTGTGTCACCTGAAGCTTTTTGTTTGTTTGTTTTTTGAGGAGCTAGCGAAGGAATGATAGTTACAATCTATGAGCAGGCTTACTCTCCTATTTACCCCTGCCTTGGATTTTATTAGGTAGTGTAACTGAAGTGAATGTGATCCTACTTGCTGGGGTTTGAAGTCTCCACTTGCATTTCTGAAGCAGGTTCTATAATATGCAAAAATCAAATGTCAAAGATATATGAAGAAGACTCCTTAATTGAAGCTGCTATAGAGTGACGAGCCTTTGTAGCTTGTTACCAGCAATTTCCTTGAATCATCTTTTCCAACATCCAAAAAGAAACTAAGGGAAAGTGTACTAGAGTCATGCACCACCCCTTCATTTTCATGGAACAGAATGTGCATCTTTGTCTATGTTGAGAAAATATGGAAAGATAATGTGACAAGTAGCTACAACCTTAAACTGGTTTATTTTTTTAAAACCTGAAAACTGTAGTTCTTTATTAATTAGCTTGTCAAAGATAACTTGGTAGCTTCTGAGAACAATGTCAGGATAGCTTTCTCCCTGTAAAATCCTGGTGGAGACAAGGGACAGGCAGTTTTTTACCTCATTGTATTTATTGAGGAAAACTCCAGGTGGGGGGTTTAGTGTTGACCTCAGCTAGTAACATCGAGGTAAAAACTACTCGTGCCTTGTCTCTACCAGGATTTTACAGGGAGGAAGTTATCTTGCTGTATAAATGCACTTTTTCTTTTGCAGTAAAGATATAACCCAAGGAGTCCATGTCTTGAAGAAACATTTTGATTTGTCTTCATGAGAGCGAGGCTGTGTCTACACACTGAAGCTGTGAGAAGCGGAGAAGCTATATTAATACAGCTGCATCCATACTAGAGTTGCCGTATCAGTATAACTATATTGGTTAAAAAAGATTAGATTCTGTAATCAATGTAGTTGTGCTTGTACAAAAGCCATTGACGTGCAGACCTGGCCTTATGCTGACTTAAAACTGGTTATAGCAGTTTAGCTTGCACATGTAAATTGACTGACAAGTTAAATCACTATAAGCCAGGATTATTAAACCAATGTAAGTACGTCCATAGAGGGGTTTGCATCAGTTTAGAAACACAACTTTAGTTAAGACAGTGCAACTGTTTGTGTAGACCAAGCCGAGATCAGATTCTCCATTTCAAGAATGTGCCACACTTTTAAACCGGTCACCCTAGGAAAGCGGAAGCTGAGTTTTCCAGGCCCACTCAATAGCCTGTTGTCAGGCTAGGATCAGGCGATAAATTTACTGTCTCCCTCTTTTTCTAGGATACTCAGTTCCCCAATCCTGCAGCTGGATCATGTGGGTGGACTCCTGCACTCACATGGAGTCTCACTGAGTTTAGTAATGTAAGTGGAGTCACTGCAGTGCAGCATGTCGGGTGCCACATCCACTTTGGCCACACCGTCGAACAGTTTAACATCCATATACGAGAGAGCCAGACAGAGGTGCCGGGATCAGACATGCAGAGAACAGGCAAGAATCAGCACTTAGATGGGGCTCTGTGAGGTCTCAGGGGCACAGAGATATTTAAATTGGTTACATCTGTGCAGGCAAATAAATCTGACGTGGACGGTACTTACCATTGAACATGCTGTTGGCAATGGCACCGCATGGAGCCATTGGAGTTCCATTTGGATAGGTGGTGAAAGGCGCACAGTTGCTGTTCTGAATCTGAACTCAAGGTCAATGGACAATTAGAAATGTCTTTTCCTCATCAACATTTTTTTGGTCAATCTTTTACTCTTATTTCCCCCCTTTAAAAAAAACACCCCCCCCCACCAAAAAAACCCAACAACCCAAAAAGAAAACCACCAAATATCTAAGAGTGCTAGGAGTTGCCAGTGCTTTCCAGTCACATTAGAGATGGGCCCCAAACAGAACGAGACTGGGGTGAGGCGTATCTGCCGTGGTCTAGTGGACTGAGGGGGTATGTCTACACAGCTGCTGGGAGCATACTTCCCAGCACAGACTGTTGCTGTGTGACAGATCCCCACAAAGGGAAAACCAACTAACTATTCAGGGGAAACTGTTTATGTGGAAACTAAACATACTGAAAACTATCGAGATTTGTTTTCTCTAGTCTCTTTCTTTCTGTTATATTCATATTTTACATATAAGAGAGTGGTGGCAACACTGAAAGACCAGCTTAGGTCTGTTAACAGGATTATAAAAAGGTTTTGTTCCATCTGCACGGTACTGGGAGTCCATGGTATAATCACAGCTGGGCTACAGTGATGTTGTAACGGTGTGCCTTAACACTGCTGTAACTGCAGGCTGATATGTTCAAACAAATTGTTTTGGTTGCCGCAGTTTGTCGGTACTCCATTTGAGACCTCTTAAAGGGGCCTGGCATTCGAAGGGTGAGTGCTCTTTTAGTCACTTTTTAACATAAAGGCTGCATCATAGAGAGGACCTTAGGGCCCATCTAGACTAGAATTACAAATAACAATTACAACCAGCTCACAATGATGTATTCCCCGACCCAGGTACAACATAGTTCCATTTTTCAGTGTAGACAGGACATTTACCTGCATCCCCAAACTCTGCTAAAATGTTGGACTTATTTAAGCCTTTACCATGGATTGAAGACATGCGTAAAAAAATGGCTAGGTGCCATCCATTCCCCAGGACAACTGTCTTGTAGCTGTGTCCCCAACTCGTGTAGATTGGGTCTAAAACGGCTAGCAAACCTCCAATAAAATCCAACTACTAATGATATTGCTGATAATTCTCGGCACTTGTGATCTGTAGACCTCAAAGCACGTTCTGAAGAAAACTCCTTTTCCAGGCATTGAAGTCAGTCTCCTTCCCTGTTTGCACACACATGCTACAGCTTCTACGACAACCAAATTGTTTTATCAGAGTTACAATGTGTGACCGTTGCTTCTGTACTTAATACCGAAGCTTTGCAACATCCCTGTGAATGGTTATAAGTGGGAAATGCTAGTAGAAAAGTTTACAGTGCCTTCTAACCTGAAGGAGACGACACTCACTAAAAAGTTGAGAAAGGGAGCTTACCCCTTGCAGCTGACCACATTTTCTATTCCCCACAAATAAGATGGCCAGGTCTAGTGCTCCAAATTTAAAGAAACTGAGGAATAAAGATATTGAGCTCTGGCTTTTTTTATGCACTTTTGGGCCCATCTGGTTTATAATCACAGCCTACCCTGGAGGAGAAATAGAGGGGCTCTGTTGCAACAAGAGACCCAGGAGAAACTCCGGTGATCTAAGGATACACAGCAACAGAGGAGAAACATTAAAAAAATTAAAATAAAAAAGGTAAATGTGGTTGTAAAACCACAAAAACTCGCAGAAGGACTCAGAGGCAGGTGTAGTACCAGAAACGACTTTTTAACCAGAGAACCACACACTAAGAGCTTCCTCACCCGATGAAAATATTAATGATGTAACAAAAAGGAATACACTTACGTTAACATCTTCACCCAGCAATTGTGAGTCACTTCTGGAGAGGACATACCGACGGTGGTTCTGATAAAAGTTTTGTAGACGATAGTAGATAAAAACATCACCCTAGAATTCAAAGGAGAATAATATAGGATGAGGAGAGCATAAACAAAATAGGCCATTTTTACAAACTGTTGGGAAAAAATCCCGGAGGGGGAGAGAGAGGGGGAAGGGGGGCAGCCTGATGGATTTGTTGTTTACATTTCAGCTGACTATTTTAGCAGAAACATTCACTTTCCTTGGGCTTGTGGGTGGAGCATGGACAGAATACCATCATTCTCCCCACCCATTGCTTTGGCATCGCTGAACTACATGAGTAGTTCCATTGAGGTCACAGTTTTTTTATTTGGAAAGGTTGCAGGATTGGACCCCCAGTTTTCTAAATATGTTAAGATTATTAAATTCAACTATCAGCATTTAAAAAAAACAGATGTAAAGTAATTTAGCACTTGTGAAAGGTGCTGCACTGAGAGTGCTGTAGATTGAGGGTATAATTGTCAAAAATGCTTACCTGACTTAGGACCCTATGTCCTATTTTCAAAAGAGACTTAGGCACTTTTGGCTCCTAAATCCCTTTTGAAAAGAGACTTGGGGCTTGTCTACATGGTGCCACAGACCAGTCAGTGGGGGCGTGAACTGCAGAGTGCTCTAGCAGTCCCAGGAACACCCTGCCGTACTGCACACCTTGCACGGATGTAGTCCACAGAATTACGTAAATGCACACTCGATACCTTTTAGTTTGCACCACCACGATCTACATGGGCCAGGTAGAGAGCAACATATTAGAGCATTCTGCAGTTCACACCCCCATAGGCCTGTCTTTAGTGCAGTGTAGACAAGCCTTTAGCCCTTTTGAAAATGTTGAGTCTTGAATCTACAGACCAGATCTCATACAAGCAGCAGAAGTACCAGTTTGTACATGCAATATGGGAAACTGACATTTTTACTTTCCATTTTAAATGTTTTCAAACCTTGACACATTCTTACGGCTGAAGGATTTTCATGTCTAATGCATTTATAGCCCCTTTCACTCTGAAAAACTCTAAAGTTGTGGGAAGAGCTACAGGAGTTTTACTTACCAAAAGTGGCCGCGGCTTCAGTTTTCTGTCTCATCTGAAAGAAGGTCCTACCCCTGCTGCACAGTACCAACTAACACCAGGGTGTGGCCCTGGGTCCCTACTGGGGCATTGACTCACTACTGATTCAGAAGAAAGAAGTCACCTCTTGACTCAACAGCACTTCTTGCAGCACCTGTTTTCACCTGGGAGGTCTCCAATCTAAGTATTATGTAGCCTGATCTTGCTTAATTATGGGATTTGCCAAAATGAGTAACAAGCAGGGTAAAGGCACATCTTTTGGGTGTAATCGTGATGTACATATCAGTGGTGACATATTATTACTTTTTTGGAAGGTGTGCAGTACTGCAGGGTGTTCCTGGGACCGCTAGAGCACTCCGCAGTTCACGCCCCCACTGACTGGTCTGTGGCACCATGTAGACAAAAAAGTTTGTTAGGTTTGTGAAAGGTACTGACATAAAGCCCTGGCTTAGTGTCCTTTACAGGACAAAATTTATACTTCTTACACATCCCGAAATACAGGAGCTGGGGTCTGCGGGTGGTTTCACACCTTCACCTACCAGCATATTTTCCTGCAGTGTGACGTGCACGGAACAGTTGCATTCTTTATCCCAGTTAGAGGAGTTTTCACGCAGTTTTGAACAATTCAAACATATGTCCGAATAGTTAATCTGTCAAAGAAATAAACAAGCAAAGATTATATTGGGGTGGACAAACTACGGCCCATGGGCCAGATCCGGCCCATCGGGGCTTTGGATCCAGCCCATGGGATTGCCACCCCGGTGGCCAGCACCATGTCCCTGCGGCCCCCTCTAGGAGGGGGAGCAGAGGGCTCCGTGCGCTGCCCTTGCCTCCAGGCACCGACCCCCCGCAGCTCCCATTGAACGGGGGCACCCTGATTCTCCAGCTGGCTCTCTGCCAGCATGGGAGGAGTTTAGATTGCCCTGAGAACTCACCTGAATTCACTCAGCTGGTAACAATCCCCAGGGGCTGTCTGCCAGATGACAATACCTGGAGTGCTGTGGATTCCTACCCTCTAATCCTGAGTTGCAGGGGGTTTGCTAGAGGAGCCAGTTATGCTGCCGCTGCACGCACCGGGCACCCTCGGCAAACAAACAAACAACAAACCAGGGAATCCCCAGTTGGAGTGCGGGGGATGAAAACAGTTTCTGCTCTTTTTGTGCCACCTGAGCAGCACAAAGAGAGTGGAGCAGGGGTGAGAGTCAGGTCCACAGTAACTGGGGCAAACACTATGTTGGAAATAGCATTATTTTCTCTCTCTTTAATGTTTTGCATTTATTTAGCACCTTTCATCCGAAACAAGTGCATTTAATAACTGAAAAATAATACCATCCTACTGTAACTTTTAGCAAACACTTATAATAAGGGCCGATAATTAGTTTTTACTTTTATATTTTTATCCATTACAGTGTACGCTCAGACTACAAAATATAAGAGGCAAAGTTTGGGCTCTGAGACTATCCTAATGGAAAAACAAGCCACATTTTTTTTCCTGTAAGGTGACCGGCCCACGCAAATCACCATGTACTATTTTGTTTGGTTTTTTCACCCCACAGGCCAAACAAAGAAATAATCTAGCTGTCCTTGTCAATTCTAGTGGGTGCTGTATATACAAATGGCAATGTGGTTTAGCGGTTTGAAGAGAGAACTGGGAGCCTCGTTTGCTGGCCAACTGACTCGCCGTGAGACCTCGTGTAAATCATTCTGTGTTTTAACATACCCCGCCCCCTGTAAAACTGATGTCAAATTACCTAATTACGGCTAAAACAGGTTGAATTATTCATTGTGAATACTATGAGTTGCAGATTTATTCCTCTTTTCTGTTCACAAGTCAGTCACAAACCAAGCAATTTTTTTTTTTTTTTTTTTGCTGGTCTATTCATTATCCAAGGTGTGTGATTGGTACACATAGTATTGTACTGCTTCCCAACTGGATGACAAATTTTCAAAACTAGAGAAAAACAGATAATGCACTTCAAAAACAATTTATCAGCCTAGTAATTTTTGCTAGAATTGTGAAACTGTCAAGATTCACGATCATTTACACAAATACTAGCTGTCTAAACATTCATAAAGAACAAAATAATAGGAGGTAACAAGTCAGTGGATTGAATTTAATACTTTGATTTTGAAATTGGCCTTAATATTCAACCTGCTCGACCTGCAGCAGCCATCGTTAACAAATGAGGAATCTCTTGTGTTTTAGGATTCTGGCTTGTCAAATATTTATTGACATTTTTCTAGTGCCTAACAATACCAAAGTCACCACAGTTTATTTCCTTCCCTAAGCACAGGGACAAATGACAGTGTCCCGGATATTACCATCTGGTAGATTAGCAAATGCTGACTTTTTAACAGTGACCACTTTAATGGTGACCACTTTCACATGGGGTATTGTGGGTTCGTTTGACATCCTGGGGTAAAAGGAGTACATCCATGATAGAGTTACTACCCCCCTTTGGTCTGAAGCACACACACAGTTATTTTCTCCCAAACATGAGCCGCTCTCTAACAACACTCACCAAGAAAACCACCCAAAACAAACCTGGATTTCTTTGACACTTCTTGCAGATAATATTAGGCAGATTCCCATGAGAAGGCAGAAGAGTCCAATGATAAACAAGCTGGAGAGGACAGTCGGAGCGGTGAGCTTGGGCTTCCAGGCTGGCAGTTTCTGTTGTTTAAATGCACTGTTATCTGGACATCTGGAGGGACGCTCCTGTGCTCCTTGGCTGTTCTTATTTTCCATGCTGTTGCCGTTGGAGAAGGGTGTGTGGTTTTGGGGGTGGGAAGGGTAAGGGTGTCGGTGTTAAGACTTGGTCTCAACTTAAATACTCTCTCTGATGTTGGAGGCTGTGTTGTTTCTATAAACCTTTGTTACTTCCTGGAATTACTCATTAACTAGACCTTTCTTCCTCTGTTCAGGCTCATCCTGTCCGTTGGTGACCTCAATCACCTTAATCAGCTGGTGCTATCAGCCACAGGTGTACTTTAGTCAGAGTCATAGGGACTGCATCCTAGACAGTCCGGACTCTCTGGGAAAGTCACCAAGAGTCTTTTTCTGCTGCACCACTTAGTACAGTAGAACCTCAGAGTGACGAACACCCCGGGAATGGAGATTGTTCGTTACTCTGAAACGTTATAACTCTGAACAAAATCTTATGGTTCTTTCAAAAGTTTACAGTGGAACATTGATTTGAAATTTTACTGTGCTGAAGAAAAATGCTGCTTTCACTTTATTTTTTATTAGTTTACGTTTAACACAGTACTGTACTGTGTTTTCTTTTTTAGCTCTCTGCTGTTGCCTGATTGCGTACTTCCGGTTCCAAATGAGGTATTTGATTGACTGGTCAGTTTGTAACTCGGAGGTTCTACTGTAAAGAGTTTATTAGGTTTCACTAAGTTCTGAGCTATTGATCACTTGCAGGGCCAATATCTGCTACCTGAAAGGTCTGTACACAGTTTGGTCCCTTACTCCCTCTCTTCCCTTTATTTCCATAGTCACCCTAAACGGAGCAGTGTTATCAAAAGCAAAAAAGGCTTTTACAAGAGAATGCTGTGTTGGATGACAATGTGAAGGGCTCCTACCAGTGTGAGGCCCTGGGGGAGAACTTACCAAGGGAGGAACTGCAACGCCCTTTGTAAGGGCACAGCATTTGGAGAGTTGGTATGGCCCCTTTTGAGTTCCCCAGTGCTAGCTTTGGTACTGTGCACCCCTCCCCCTTTTGCACTGAGAGCACAAGATCCCCAAAGGAAAGATCATCCTACCCTCTTCATATCACCACTCCTTAGACCTGATCACAATCTAGTCAACAACATAACCAACACAGAAGCTGCAGGTCACGGGAGAGATTGAGCAGTGAGAACAAGAGCTAAATAGTACAGACTGTATCCCAAGTTATATTCCCTCATACTCACTGGCTGACATGCATTATAAATGGGATTTGTTTACAGATCACACTAATGTTTGATTAAATAAATTCCTATTAAATCTCATCCAGATACAGGCAGTTTAGAATTTTAGCCAAAAGCACCCAGAAATGTTTACTCAAAACTTTGTTTCATTTTTCAATCAACTTGAGTGTTTCCTACTACAGATATCCATATTTTGCTAACTAGTCCAATGAGCATGTTTTACTCGATTTGCTCTATAGAGCCGACACAGCCAAGGGACAGCAAAGTGTATTCTGACATCACAGTAATCAAAATGAACTAAAATTCTAGTAGCAAATTCTTTATTTGCTGATAATGTGGAAACCAGATAAACCTAATGAAAAGGGCTATAGGATTTTTACTCACCACAAGTGGTCAGGGCTTCAGTTTTGTGTCTATTTGAAAGATGGTCCCTACAGCAACACAGTACCCACTAACAGGCACTAACTTTGATGTGCAGGGGTGGTTGAATAGTATTCAGCAAATTCTGCCCTCTTCATCACGTATCACATGATTTGTCAGTGGCACTGGCTCACTACTGACTCAGATGAAAGAGAAGTCACTCCTTCAGTTCATATTCCTGCCTGAGTTTGCAGGGCCTGCAGTATGAAAAGAACTCTTTTTACTTGTAAACTGAGCACCTTTGATCTGAGAGACAAACATGGCACCCCATGATACCATTTTTGCAAAGCCACTTTTCAGGGTAGAACTGCACCCAAAGAGAGAGTCGAGTGCAAATACAGCTTGTTTCAGGAAGGGAGATAGGAGGGGCTGCAGGGAGTCAGGTAGATTGTATCTACATTATGAGATAATGTTTCCAGTGGAAGAATGAAACTGAACTTTCCAGTGTATCACAGTTTGTATTGTTGGATCATATTAAAGAAGTTCTGTATTAAAATCACAAATGAGTTTGATTCCCCATAGTTTAAATTCCAGGGTATTACTAATTCAGAGGTCTCTTGGTTTTTGGTACTGTTTCTCTCCCTCTATGTGTGAAACTTGCAAGCTGCTAATTGCATTAGTACATTCTAAGACAGAGTCTGTTCTCAAAGCAATTCTTTGTAACAACAACTACTCACACAGAGAGAGACTCAAAGCAATACTCTGTAACAACAGAAACAGCACCCAGAGACTCCCCGCCCTTTTGTTGTATTCATCTCACTTTGTAAACAATTGTGATTAAAATAGAGATAGAGGATGTATGTGGATGGATGCTTGGTGTGGATAATAACTGAATGATCAGGGAGGTGCCAGCCTAAGAATCCAGTGTCCATCGGCTGAAGAAGGCATCAAGTGGAAATAGCCAGAGGACCCCCAGAGGGCAGACTGGAATCCACCCAACAGCCTCAAGGATGGGAGAACCAAAGAACAAGATAACATCTGGCAGCATGGAGCCATCAGGAATGTGCTATCTGTTGACTGATTCAGCAACAGCATGATGAAGCAATTCCCATAGACTGGCATAGGAAGAAATTCCTATAAAAATGGACTTTAGAAAGTGAGAACTTTGGGGTCTGATTCTGCAAACCAACTTCCAGGAGCATCAGATGAGCATCTGACAAGGCCCTGCTCCCTCCTCATGTCCAGGCCACCTGGCCAGTGGCTTGGCATGAGCAACTCTAAGGCTGGTAACTATGATAACAACCTTGCAGAACCTCTGTGGTGTGTATGAATGAATGTGTGAATAAATATGAAATTGAATGGAATGTTATAGCTATAACTAACTGCTTACTATGATTCTTTCTATATTCACAATAAATGTGGCATTTTGCCTTTTCCCCTTTAATAAGATCCTGCTGGTTTTTATTTTATTGGTATAACACTATTACTCTCCTGCAAATAGCCATTTGGAATAAAAAGAACTAACAAGTGGATCTGATTTATTCTTTCCTGGTCTGATATTAGCTGGATTGTACTGGAATAATAGAACACGGTAGAGCACATGTGCTTTTTAGTAAAGATATTAACATCAAATTATGCATGTTTTCTCACCAAGGTCAACCTCCAGTCCTACTACCAGTTACAAATGCAATAGACATTGCCTTAGTTGCAATTAAAGAAATCCTGTGGCAGTTAGAGTCATAAAATGGTTAAGTACCTGTGACCACAAAAGGATAGCAAAGGTTATTCTAATAATGTCTGGTTTGTGTCAGAGACCTTCCAGAATCCCTCTAATTTGTCCTTTGTTACTCCTACTGCTCCCCTCTGAAAAAATCACCTTATACATACAAGCCAGGGTGAAAAATACCTGTGCTGCCATGAGCACCCAAATTGCTTCCCCTCATCCCCCGGCAGGAATGACAGCTGAATATTGTCTATGTACTCTGACAATTTAACAAATATACAATCAATTTTCCATTTAATGCAATTTAAAAATGTAACTTATTCAATAACAGAAAAGAACATCTGGTGAATATACTTGGTTACTCACCAAGTAATACTTGACCAGCTGGCAGAACACAACAAGAAAGTATTTGACATATCAATTACAGGATGAAGACTGGCAAAATTTGCTGAATACTATTCAACCACCCTTACACATCAAAGGCAAAAATCCCTGCATCACAGGAATCTTTCCAAAGACAGGGAATGGTAGGAGTTTCACTTTTCTCCCTCTAGAAGAATGAACAGCCTTTGTCAGCTCAGAGTGAGGAACCGGAGTAAAATCAAGTGGTGGAAAATCCCAAGCGCTGGCTCCTCTCTTTCCTAAGGGCCTTGTCTACAATAGAAAGCCTTGGCCTGCATAGCTATGTCAGCAGAGCCCCCTAGTGTAGACACAGCATATGCTGACAGAAGGAGTTCTTCTGCCAGTCCCCAAACAAAGTTAGCTATGTCAACAGAAGCACTCTTCTGTCAGCATAGTTGCACCTACACTGGGGTTTTTGCCATCATAGCTATGTTGGCTAGGTGGTGTGGTTTTTCACACACCTGACCAACGCTATGCTGACAAAACTTTGTACTGTAGACCAGGCCTAACTCTTCTCTTTCCTTTGGAATTCCATTCCTTACTGACAAATCAACCCTTTATACTGGAGTCAAAGCAAGGTTTAAAGTGATCTCGGAGAATTGCTAAGCCTTTCCATGCTGAATGTTGGAATTTAGCTGCTTTGTAATGACATTTTTGGGCTGGGAGAGCTTGTTTAATTGCAGTAGTTCTATTGCTTCCTTTGAGAAGTGAATTTTAATCTTGGACAGCAGAAACAGATGGCTAGCAAGGTAAAATCTACTAGTCAGGAAGTGCTGTCTCTCTCTGTCAGGCTCTCTGGAGGATGGACACAAAGCAGTGACACTGGAGAGTTTGACAGGCCTGGGATGCCCAACTGCCAAACCTGTGTGTTCAAAAATCAGCAAACAAACCCAAAATAAACTCTCGAAATGCTCCCCGAGACTCTTTCTATTGCTGACAGAATCAGACCCTGAAAAGAGCACTAAATAGACAGGGAAATGTCTCTGAGATGGGCCACTCTGACCTGCCTGTGTTGCCAGGTGGAGAGCAGTCTTTCAGATCTCCCCCATTACAATCGTCTCTTTCTAGCATCTAAGTCAGGGATGAGCAAACTTTTTGGCCCGAGGGCCACATCGGGGTGCGAAACTGTACGGAGGGCTGGGTAGGGAAGGCTGTGCCTCCACAAACAACCTGGTCCCTGCCCCCACCCCCTATTTGCCCCCTCCCAATTTCCACCCCCTGACTGTTCCCCTCACAACCCCCGACCCATCCAACCCCCGCTGCTCCTTGTCCCCTGACTGCCCCAACCTATCTATACCCTGCCCCGCAACAGGCCCGCCCAGGACTCCCACGCCCTATCCAACCCCCCCCTGTTCCCTGCCCCCTGACCACCCCAGAACCTCTGCCCCATGCAACCGCCCCCTGTCCCCTGACTGCCCCCCAGACTCCCTACCCAACCCCCACACCGCCACGCATGCTGCCATGGCCCCCTTACCATGCCGCTCAGAGCAGCAGGAGCTTGCAGCCCCACTGCCTGCGCTGCAGCATGGCTGCGTGGGAGGGGAAACAGCGGGGGAGGGGTCAGGGGCTAGCCTCCCAGGCCAGGAGCTCAGGGTCCAGGCAGGATGGTCCTGCGGGCTGTAGTCTGCCCACCTCTGATCTAAGCCCTTGCACGGGTCTCTGATTTTGATACTTTGTGACCCCTCCAACCTCACTGTGGTCAAATCATCCTATGTTATAACCTGAATAAATACTGGGTGAAGTTTACAACTTCTCGCTTGTGATACTGAATAATGTTGATTGTTGGGGTGGGTGAATGTGCCATAAAGTGAGGCTCATTAAGCAAAAACATGAACCAGGATGTGTACCCAAAAAGCAAGTGTATCACCAACCCAGATATGCTCATGTCCTACAGCTTCTATCTCATGACAATAGCAACGCTATAGTTGGTGGGATCACCCACAGGAGTGAGAGTTGCAAGATTAGACCATTTTTATGCTGTAGGTATCATAGTAATTTTTCTGTCTTAAGAAGTTTCCTGCCCTAGCATGAGCCACTGTTATTTTCCAGCACACATCTTTATGATATAATGTAGTGACAGGGTTTGTGGAGGACAAGAGAGCTCTAACTCATCAACACACTGTGGGGGTAGCTACATAAGGTACTAAAGGAGCTAAAACTTCTTGACTAACTCTGGACTGGTCTCTGTAATGGCCAGATGCCTTCTGCATGCTAGGAAGTTGCAGCAGTGAGGGTTGGGAATTTCTGGGCCAGAGGTGCCCAGAACTGGAATGGGCTGTCTTCTATCACTCCTAGACGGGGATTGAAGGTGTCCTTTTGGAAGAGTGAAGGGGGGGGCCAGAAGCAGAGTTTGGCTGTGGGAATCATTCAGGATAGGCGCACTCATCCTCAGTGTCCTAAGGGTAGTGGAGAATGCACACCTACTGTTTTATATGCAGCATACATCTAATTTCAGTATCATACTGTTCAGGCAATAACCATCTCTGGTACAGAATCTACATGCAAACCTTTGCTTTATTATAAGAGGGTCAGAAGCTGACAAACATTGTAATACACAGCATCTCAGAAATGGAAGAACTGAATCCAGTCAGCCATTGAACAGTTGCCTACTACAGCTGTAAATTGCATCCATGTTAGTTACACCATTAAAAGAGTCCCAGCTTCACAGAATCTTCTCTGCACAGCTTTATAATTCCCATTTCCAGAAGGTCAATTGTTTCTTTCCTTATCTGAAGGAAACAAAAATTAAACAAGACAAGAAGTAGGAAGATTACTGAAAGTGCTCTGCACACACACCCTTATTCTGCTTAGCTACACGAGTTTTATTAGAGGCTGAGTGAAGGAGGGACCCTCACACACAAACAGAAGTTTTACAAAATAAATATAATAAACTCTAGAAACTACCTATTGAGCTGAATATTTCTTAGCTTATCTACTTTAAAGACCACCAGATGTATTTGAGAGGAAATACCGACTAACACCATGGCAAGGCCAGGAGCTCCAATGCAGTTCTGCAGCAAAGAGTCATGCATCTGACGAAGTGGGTATTCACCCATGAAAGCTTATGCTCCAATACGTCTGTTAGTCACAGGACTCTGCCGCTTTTACAGATCCAGACTAATACGGCTACCCCTCTGATACTGCAGTTATGGTTACATCAGGGCTTTCATTATAACCCCATTGTCAGCTCTGACTACCTTACAGAGAAGTTCACCTTTTGGGCTGAATGTTTCCATGCTTCACCTCAGCCCAGAGATGAAGGGTGTGAGAAAGCCTGGCAAATTTCTGTTCTACCCTTTTAAAGTTATACAAAGGGGTGGGGGATAATCATCTCTCCATTTGAAGTACATTTTAAAAGCTTTTTTGCTCACGTAACTTGAATAGCTGAACTTTACAAGCTGATATTTTCAGACTTACTGAAGGCTTTGAGAGCTAGGCTACTACTTTGTATTGCAGGCAATATCTACGTAGTAAGTTTCTGATGTAGAAAACTTTGTCTATAGGCAGTTTAGACTGTGAAACCAGACTGTACTAGGCTCATTATGCTTTGGCAGAGTTTAGCAGTTCTTCAGGAGAGAGCCTTTTAAGCTCCTCTAGCCTGATTATTCTGAATGTCTCCTTTTTTCTCTCTCCTATTTAGGATGAGGATAGAGGCAAACAAGGACATGAACATACAACAACTTTCCCTAATGTGATGTTAGGGTTACACATCTGCTCAGTGTTAAGTTGGAAAATGTGGAAGAATACATAACTGTGCCTGTGACACTGCAAGGGCCAGCATCAGGATGTCCCTGTCCTCTCCGGAAGTGGCGGGGTCTAGAACCAAGGCATGGGAGGGCTTTGGTTTTTGTTTTTAAACTTGTGTGTTTATTAGAACTCCACCAGGTAAAAAATTAACCCTGCACACCAACGTCCCCAAGAACGGCTGCTCTCTGTGTTGTTCTTAGCCCACAACCTCCGTCTTCTCTGCTGCCTTCTTCACTCCCCCCTGGAAATGAGGTAAGTGTTCATTTAGAGGGAGCTGTGGGTGCTTCACACCTCTGAAAAATCGGGCTATGAGTTTTTCCATATGCCAATATAAAAATGTGCATGTTTCCAGCACTCCTTGGCTTCTATGTGTTTAAACAAACAGTACTGCCCTATTTACAGTAAGATGCAGTAATGAATCCTGTTAATTCTACAGGACCAAAAGTTATTCTGCAGAGAGAAGTTATTGAAGAAGCCAGGGCCATCTTGTAAAAGGGCCTCTGCCTGGTCCTCAACTGTATTGGTGCAATTTTGCATCCATGATTAACTATGGATACAAAAGAATTAGTACATCATCTGACTGAGTCTGCTAATGGAGCTGCTAGCAGTTACACACTATCATCACTCCCACCTTCACTTAACTGTGGATACCAATTAGTTATGTAATTTTTGCAGGCCCACAAACTGGCAGCCATTTCTGAAAATCTGGCAGTATCATGTTATTATTTATTACTATTTATAGTGTTCTTGGTATTGTACACAGAAGTAGGAGAACAAGGTACCTGGCTCAATGAGATACTCCAAATGTAAAGTCTTACCTTTGCCAGCACCTGATGGGATTCACTATTGCCCTGTTATGACACTTTATCTGTACTATGCTATCTGAGTACAGTTTACTACATACCTTTCATATAAATGATTTTCCTGGACTCTTTCTGGCATATGCAGTAGTACAAAGTACTGTACTACAAGATGCTTCACATACGTATCCAAGGCTGCTGGGGGAAAACCCCGTATGTTGTGTTATCTGAGACATAGCAGGTGATTGAAGGCTGTTCCATAATGCAGAAAATGCACAAAAGGGCAAAGTTGGTGTTACACATTCACCATTAACTTGCACAATTCCTAGGCTTTTAATTTTGTATTCTTAATGTTACATTATTTTTTTCTAGTTAAATACAGTTAGAGTCACAATTTTGTTATCCAGGCAGCATCCCAGCTGTAGGACTACTCCCCATGGCAAGATAGTATTCAGGAAGTTTGGCATGCTCCCTGAAGAACAAATGTTTAGTTAAGCTGTAAGGAATGGCTAGGAGGCCTCAGTCTCAGGTTTGCGATAGCACAGGTTCAGATCCAGGTAGATCAGCCAGAGGCTGCGGCTTGCTGCCTGTGGCTGACTCACAGAAACCCTGGTCCATCTGTAGTCCATATGAGCCCATAGCACTTTTTGTAATAGTAGGGCTTTGTGCCAGTGTCCTTTGCTAACATTTCTGTGATCTGTTCATCAGTGTCCGAATTGCTTACATATCCGTTTTAATGCAAGTACCCTATCAAACTCACACCTTGAGATTTCTATTGATGATTTACCACAAGGGGGAGCCTCTTTGCTTCATTAAGTGAAGCTGCTCTTTTTGCTACTTGATTTCTTCAAGGTATTTTAGTAGACACAGTAGTTCATCCTGGAGCATGAGAAACACAACCTTGCACACGTGGTGGTGAGTGATACAACACACTCAAAAACATGTTAAAGTACAGAGCAGGATGGGGTGTGTGACAATTTTCTTCCTTGTGAAAGAGGTCTGTGCTACCTGTCAAAGGGATTGTCCTCTGGAGGCTCCAGACATTGGAGCCTACATTCTCTACCGTGCCCAACACAGCAATACCCGCAACACCTACCTATGTATTATCGTGCATCTACTTATTTACCGTTAGCATATGACCAGTAACATCGTCGATTAATTTGACCCTAAACATAAAAATTATTGATTTTACATAAACTGTTTTAATGATACGAGCATTATACAGGCAATAAAGATGAAATGACATAGGACATAAAATTAAACCATTATTCTCAACCATGAATATTGCCACAGTAATGGGTCATTTCTTAGTCTAACTAATCACGAGAAATAAGCAACCCTTGTCAGTAAGATACAACATTACCAGTTTCAAGCCCATTTGACTACGACGTACATAACTGATCTATTCTGGCCTCTGGTTGTTTTTTCAGGCACATAAGGATAATAAAGTTCATTCAACTTAGAGGTTACCGTTACCCATGCCTGCACAGGAGAGAGGTAGCCTTTTCATACTGATTGGAGAGACTTGTGGTCAGTTCTCTCTCTGGGCTAAATACTGGTTATCTACATAGCCTACTACATATCAAATAGCACAATACCACAGCACAATGCTGCACACCTAACAATGTGAGTGCTGCAACATGCCACTGAAAAGCACATGGAATTGTCAGGATGAGAAGGCTCTACCAGTGGATTACAGGCCAATGAGTTTTGCTGCTTTATGGGATCATATTGTTCTAGATGAGGTTGTAGTGTGACTCAACAGGCCAATGTGCTCCTTCCATCTTGGAGTCCAATGTGTCCTCAAAAGCTGCTCAAAAGGAATCTTAGTTCCTTTTCTTCAATTTCTGAGGAAAACTTTCCTCCCAGGAGCGGGTTGCTGAGAGTCTCTGGGAGGGGCAGAACTACTAGCTCAGAGACATCTGAGCAGGAAAAATTGATAGAGGGCGCTGGAACCCATTGGTACCGTTTGCTGCAGCTCACGAGATGAGAGATGAAGAAGTGAAGTGCCTCAGTTCGGAGCTGGGGAACCCAGGGTGCAAAATTATAGGTAAAATGCTAATTCCTTTGTGTTCCTTGAGTGCTGATACCAGAAGTCAGTTTCACAGCAGAAAATCCTGACTTCCCAGCATTCAAGTGTTAACTACGTTTAGACAGAAAGGTTAATATAATTACGTCATTGTTTAAAAAGGTGACCATACTGTACCTCAGGGATATCAATCATTCTCCTTAACTTCTGATCTCTCCAGTTCCAATCCAAAATCAGATACTTCAAGGAGTTCAAGCTAAGGCCATCTGAAAAGACAGAGCAAGTCTTACTATAATAAAGGTAAAATGACATGTGCTTATCAAAATGATTTTTGAGTTTTTCATCCTTTGCAGTCTGTTCCCAGGGCACTGAACATTAAGCACTACATTTGCTGGTTGGAAAACTAATGCAATGACACTGCAAACTTCCTTACCACATAATCCCATGCCTTTTCAAGAAGATAAACGCAAAAGCAGAGCAACTAATATCCTGCCTGCAAAGAATTCCCCAGACTTCCTCTTCATGAAACCACAGGAGTTGAGTTTCCATGGCTGACGACAAGTTGGTAAATTATAAGGACCTGAGCCAGCAAGAGCCAATCAGTGGGAACTGAGGATACTCAGAAACTTGCACAATCAGGCCCTAAATAAGCTTTAGGTCAGCAGCACTGCGAAGGGCTTTGGTCATCTTCCATTTCAATGGAAGGAGACAAGGAGGCAGATGGTTCTTTGGGAAATGACCCTTCTGCCAGCTCTGCTAACTCTTCCATAGCTAGTGGGTGATGTCCACAATTTTTCTTGCTAGCTTTTTCTCAGTAACCTCCCATGGCAGCACTGAACCGTCAAACAGCTCTAGACATGAAGAACACATGGTCAGCTTCTGCTCCTAGCCCACTGTCTCTCGTCTTGACATATCTTTGGGCTGATGCAGCAACATCAGCTCTATGATGTGCTGTTGAATTGTGATATCTTAACACTCTTGTAAAACACAGCAACAATGAAACATCTCACTGTTCCTGTGCTTCCTGGAGGGAGAAACAGTGGAGTCCCCTACCAGAGCCAGCTCCCACCCTCGAGCAGGGTATAGCTTGGCCAACTGACCCAAAGATGGAACTGCCGTGACGGGACCATGGTTAGTATCCTGTGATATCTACGTTACATTTTGTTTTTATTGCAAATATCTATTTAGGAAGCAAAATATATGGCAGGAAAAAAAACTTAGATTTGGGAAGGAGAAGGAGGGTTAAACAGAAAAACTAACTTCCTGTTCAAGACCTTCATGCCTGGTAGGAGATTGGGAATAATAAACTGAAAGACCAAGCAAATCTAGATTTTGTTGGGCGGGGGGTTTCAATAAAAGCTGAAATTGAACTCAGAATTGTGCATAGCATAGCTCCTTTTGTCTAAGCCACTGTGTTCGGCTTCCCAGATTTTTAACTTTATATTCTTAATCTGCATTTGAGTGACAATTGTGAGAGCAGATCCCCAAATTCACTGACTCAGGTAAGTCCAGAACCTTCAAACTCTGTATCGAAGTTTCACTTGTTCTGCCATGTGCAACATGTCCATTACCAGAGCCCATTCCAGCCTCTTCTCCTACCTTGTTCTACTAGTGCTTTTATCCTTCCAGGTGTTCCTACACCCAGGTGGATGACACCACTCTCCAGCATGTGCATCTGTTCTTTTATCTAATTCAAGGACAGTAAGAGAAAATGTTGCATCAGTAAACCCACAAGTGTTTAGGATTCCCTCTTAAAGAACATTTTATTCCACACTGGAGGTAAATTCCAAATAGCACAATAACTCCTCTTAAAACACCATCTAAAGTCAAGTCCATTTGGAGAAATAGTGCCCAGCAAGCTGGGATGTAATCTACGGTATTATAGCCTGCTGTGTGTAACTGTCCCCGTGGGTCCTGCTACCATGCATTAAGAGTTCCATAAGCACACTAAGGAACTTTTAGTGTGTGGTACCGGGGTCCACACGGACAGTTAATGTGTGGAAGCTAAAGCACTGTACATTCAGACAGTAAGAGACACAGTGTTCGTCTCTCGGATTGTAAAACTGGTACATATGGGGGAAAGCCACAAAGGGCAGTGAGGTGTCCAATTCCCTTTGAAAGTCAATAATTGAAATTCACTCGATTGTGCCTTTCAAAATCTCACCCTGAATCCGTTTTCTGAGGTCTGAATAGCACTGACCTCCCAACAATTAAATCAATCCTCTAGAACTAAATGGAGAGCACACAATCTGGGGAAAGTTAATGCAAAACTGGATTCACACTAATCTGCCCAAGACTGGGGAAGGATGAAACATACTGTGTGTAACATTTACCTGTTTGACAGTATTTATATAGAAGGCCAAATTTACACCCACTGTCTCTGATTTCCTTGATTGCAAAACAACCCTATCATTTGTACACACAAACAGGCATTTGCATTGGGTAGCTGAGCATCTCACTACCTGATTTGCACCCACCAATGTGGGTGAAGGTGGAGTTTTGTGGATGCGAACACATGCACATGCTTTTTGGTTTTGGTTTTTAAGCAGGCCCAAAATCAGAGACTGGTTTGAGGCACAGAATGTTCGAGTGTGTACCACACAGGTTCCTGATGGATGTTCTGATCTTAATGTAGGTGCCCATGCTGCACAAAAAACCACAGGGGCATGAGGAGAGTTGAGGAGCAATCAGAGGAATTGCTTGGTTGAATGCCCAGAACTGTGTTGCTGGGGTACAGAAAGGAGGCCCTTTTCTAAAGAAAGAAGCTATGTCCATGAAAAGTATCCTTACAATATCACACCAAAGACAATGGTATGTGATTGGTTAGCCATTTCATCAAAACTACCTCTGAACTTGCTTACCTTTATGTGTTTTGCAAACAATTTAATAACTTTGCAGTCTCCTTTGAATGCCGTCACTGACCTAGTAGAGGATAAATTAAAAATGAACTCAAACATTAGAACTCGGATTAGGAGTGTATAACAGGCACAAGAGGAAACCAAAACTAGTTAATTTAATGCTTAAGAATGGGATGTATAAATGAGTTAGGTGCCCAACTCCCATTGACTCCTATTTGTGCTTTGAAAACATCCCAATAAATTATTATTTAAATCTATATTTGGTAATTGTAATGATCTACAACCAGACCTACATACTAGAAGGCACAATTTAGGAGTAATTAACGGACATCTTTTTGATAGGTATTTATGTAATATTTAAAGAACATGTACTTTTACAATTGACTTCCTTCAAGACTACTGACTAATCAATTGCCAAATTTAAATAAAAGAATGATTTCACTATTGAATTATAGGCACATCAGAAAGCATTCTGAACCGGAAATTTAAGTTATTACATTTATTTATGCAATTATTAGGAAAATCATCCCTTCTGGGCTGTCATAACCCTTATTACACAAAGGAACCTTGATATCCACACCCCTGTTGACCACAACTCTTTTCATCAGAAGACCAAAATTGCGTCCTGAGCCTTTGCTTTGGGACATAGTTCTATATATAAAAAAACTTCATGATCTGTATAATAAACTCAGCAGGAGAAAATGAATACGGAGCTTACAAAGCTCCAGTTGAAATAGGCTTTTCCCTGCACTCAGGAAGAAATCAATGCACCAGTGACATGCAAGTCACATGTTAAAGCCTTCCTTTACAACCATGAAGTCTAGAAACTTTTTTTTGTAAACAATGCGGAAATTCAACAGTCATCATTTGAATTCTGGAGCCAGGAGAGGAGACATGACCAGAGTTTTCATGCCTTAAACCCAGCCTTGCACTGCTCTGCTCTTCACTCCATGGTGTATTGTGGGATAGCAAGATCTACATCCGCTATTGGGAAAGCTGGGAGCAGAGGAGCCTGGGTACTCGGATCAAGAGTACGGAGTGGAGAATGCAAACCACTGATCTAGCGGTGTGTGTTGCAGAAACTATGACAGTTCTCATCAAGAGACTGGGCCAAGAGGAACAAATTCTGATTTTCATACCTTCTGTTGGGGAAGTCAGGTTTGGGCAGGAAGCCTTTCAAATCTCCTGAACCAATATACAAATCTCATCAACTCTATCCCTGTGGAATCAAACTGAATGAATGTGGACACACCAGAGCTTGTTCCTGCTGTATCCTCACTCTGGTTTTCACAAGTTACAAGGCCCTAGGAGCGTCGGGGCAGTAGCAGCACCTCAGCACAAAATTAACAACTGCTGGATAGGAACCAACTAAGGAGAAGGGTCATGCAGACACCACATCGGTCGTAGAGAAATGAGAGAGAAAGGAAAGTGACCCTACAACAGGGTGGATCAGACACAGAACGGTTACTGGGACATACAGCAGGATGGGATAGAAGCTGGGACACGATCTACATGCCAGCGAAACATGGAAAACAAAAACAGAGCCCACAAAATCTAGAATCAGCGATTGCAAAGGGAAAGAAAGCAGGAGAAAGAAAAGTACATGAGGAACCAGAGATGAATAACTGTGCAGCTAATATGACAGAGGAGAGAGGGAAACTCAGACTTTTTCTGCTCCACTCTCCCAACAACAGGGAGTGTGGAACGAGACTTCCGCACACAGTCAGTTACTGAAGGACTTTCCATCCCAAAGTGAGGGAGTAAGACCCCTGTCCACATTGGTGACAAAGGAAAGAGATGGCAGAGACAACATCTCAGTTCTGCATTGTGATGTCACTCTACTAGCACAAAGCCCAGCCTTTTGAAGCCAGCAGTGAGGTTAGCACAGCATCTGAGTGAAAGACGAAGCTTGGGCTCCCTTCCCAGAAGGGACCAGAGACTTCAGCACAGCAGGAGCAAAGTGACTGGATGCACCATCTGGTGGCTCAGAGAAGTCCTTATGAACAAATAAGTTCTGTGTATGAAGAATGAGTGTGTATGTGCTGACAGGTGTCTGTGTGCAAACAGGGGGAAAAGTTCAGAGAAAATACTACATCAGTGAGGCTATGAAGATGTGTTCATAGTGCGGCTGCAGCTGGACCTTGTCCTTGTAAAACAGCATATAGGGCGGCTCTGAAGTAAACACCCTGATCTCAGAGACCACACAGGCAGACTTTATTGTGATCAGGAAAGAAACTTTTCAGGGAACAGGAAGCTAGAAACTTGAAGGGAGGACCCCTGAGCCACGACAGCATAAGGTTGAGGTCCCAGTGAGGGACGGGAGCCATGACATGCAGGTAGAAACTCTCCAGACCTTTCAAAAACCAGACTGTCATGTCGTGAGCGAAGACCAACCTGTCCTGGAGCGGAGGGTGGAAGGCCGAAATAGCAGCCAAGCGAACTTCGACTGATGACAAGGACAGCCCTTGGAGCTTGAGGTGTAGAAGATAGTCCAGGATCACCTGCAGCGAAGCCTGCTCAGCCAGGTTACTCCAGGCCAAAGTCCAGCATGTGATCCGCTTCCACTTGGCTAGGCAGGTCGCTCTGGTGGAGGGTTTTCTGCTACGCAACAAGACCTGTTGGACACAGGCTGAGCATTCCCGTTCCTCCGCATTTAGCCATGTGGAAGCCATGCTCTCAAGTGCAGCGATACCAGGTTCAGATGCAGAAGACTGCCCTGGTTCTGGGACAGCAGGTCTGGCCAGAGAGGAAGCTGCAGCGGGGCGGCTACTTAAAGGTCCAGCAGCGTGCCGAACCAGTGCTGCCGAGGCCACACAGAGGCTACCAGGATCGCCTTTGCCGTGTCCTGTTTGATCTTCATAAGGACCTTGTGAATTAGCGGCACCAGCGGAAAGGTGGACATCAGAGCCCCTCACCATGAGAGCAGAAAGGTGTCTGACAGGGAGCCCCTGTCCAATCTCCAGAATGAGCAGAACACGTGGTATTTCCTATTCTGACAGGATGCAAACAGGTCCACCTGGGGAATCCCCCACCTCCGGAAGATCCCACTGACTGCCTCCGGATAGAGCGATCACTTGTGGCGAGACAAGAAAGTCCTGCTGAGGTGATCTGCTAACTCGTTCCTGGCCTGGGCAGATGCACGGCTACCAGATGAACGACATGCTGCACAAAGAAGTCCCAAAGGCTGAGAGCTTCTTGGCAAAGGGCTGACAACCTGGCTCTGCCCGACCTGTTGATGTAGTACATGGCAGCAGTATCGTCTGTCAGGACATGCACCACCTTGCCCTTCACGTTGGACAGGAAAGCCTGCCAGGCCAGGTGAACCACTTTGAGCTCCCTGACATTTATGTGGAGGGACAGATCATTCCATGACCAGTGGCTTTGTGCCACTGGTGCCGTTGGTTGCTGCTCCGAGGAGGTGGCCGAGGAATGGAATGATGGAGGTATCGTCAACACAGGCATGTCTCACGCGCTCCAGTAGGGCCATTGGCCTTGCTGCCACAACGGCATCACGGAGGTCGACGCAGCCTCAAGTGCCCAATCGCACCAGTGCTGTCGCAGTGAGGGGCTGAATTCTCTTTCTGTACGAGAGGAATCATCTTCCGGTGAACATGGAGGGACCGTAGTAGAAGGCCGTAGTGTCTGGTGGCTAACTGTCGCCGCAGGAGACCGGTGCCTCGAGTAGAAGGATTGGTGCCGGGACCGGGAAGATTGGTACCGTGACGGAGACCACTCCCACTGTCTGGGAGATGTGGATCTGCGCCATGGAGACAGCCGGCGGGAGGATTATTGGTGCTGCCAATATGGTGACCAGTGCCTTCCTCTAGGCGACCCGCGTTGAGAGGGAGGAGACTGCGAGCACAATGCTGGCGATCTAGGATGGCCTGCAGAAGACAGAGACCTGGAGGGTGGAGACGGAGAGTGCTGACTTGTCTCTGGAGACTGGCATCGTTTGCCTGCTCTCTGCAGGGGTCTATATAGCTGGCTTGCACTCGCTGAGAGCCTTTGCCGTGTCCTAGGACACGTGGTGCCGGTGGCGCTGGTAGAGGCCTCTGCTCTCTGGGCGCCAGGAGGGCCTGGGAAGGTGTCAGCCCTACCACTAGTCTGGGTCCCCTACCACTTCCTGGAGTCAGCGGCGGATCCCTTGGGGGACTAGGGGGCCCCCAGTCAGGCAGGTGGCCCCAGTGTGGGCTGGCGGTCCAAACTGGGTCCTCTTTCCTTCTTTCTCGGTGCTGGGGAGTCACTCTTCTTCAACCTCTTCTTAGGCACTGGTGACGGGGAGCAATGCCAGGCAGAGCCCAGTGCTGGGAGTGTGCTGCACACCAACGCCAAGGTGCTTGGGGCAGAGTCTGGCTGGGAAGGCTCAGATGCTAGGCGGAGAGCAGCCTCCGTGAGAAGAGCTCTCAAATGGATGTCTCACTCTTTCTGAGTCCTGGGACAAAAGTTCTTACAGATGTGACACTTGGTCCTTCCCAGGCTATTCCCCCAAGCACTTGAGGCAGCTGCTTTGGGGGTCACTCACAGGCATAGGCCTGTTGCAGTCAGAGCATGCCCCACCTCGGGCAAAGTCCCTGCTGGGATGCTATCGCTAAGTAACTACTTACTAACTACTGTATACAAACAATTTACAAGGCCTTAAGGCTCGGAAACTGAAGTAGAAGAACTGCTAACCCCTGCCAGGTAAGGGAAAGGCACTCCAACTAACCACCACGGGCGGTAAGAATGAACAGAGGGCATAGGGCCGGCAGCGCCTAATATGCTGACGCGTGAACACAGCACTCAGGGGACACCACAGCCAAACCAATGGATACCACTAAGGCAAAAATCTCCAACGGCCACACACGTGGGCACGTGCACACCTAAAATAGAATCAACATGAGCAAGCACTCGAAGAAGAACATTCATTTATTAAACAGCATGTATCCTGCTAAAAAGCAATAATGTATAGTGCCCTGTTCTCAAATACATATGTTCATGACCTTGGCATCTCTGATGTTGGCAACATTGCCAGGAACAGGTCTTGGGTCAGGCTGCTCAAAACTGGCAGAAACCTCCACACATCTCCCTCCCAGTCACCAGCAAACATTTCCCCCAGCTCTCATAAATATGATGCAAATTAGAACTAACAGAGAGAATACGGGGCAGATGACCCACACCCCAGACAGTGTATGTCACACGCCTCCCTCCCTTTAGCCTACCAACAACACAGTCCACAGACATCAGCAACTCTGTGGGGACTGAAATAGCTCCTTGCTCCTGTCCAGATTTCTACTCTATGGCTTCATGAGCTAGGGAAACAGGCATTAGGGCTGGGTTCACCTAGAAAAACCGCTAGTACATCCAGAGTGTCTAAGCTATGAGAGGGGAAAAAATGTTCCTCGTAACAGTCTTGCAAACGGAACTGGATTTGTGAAGACCCTGGCTTCATGGAACAGCCAATATTTTATTACCACAGTAGTAGTGTCACAGTAGTTAGTATTTTTCTTTAAGGCCCAGCTAATGAAGTTAGGAAACTTTCATCCTTCAGTGGGGGAAAAAAAGAAAAAAAAAAGATTCTAGCTCTCATGGTTGCAGAGAAAAGTTTGTACATGTAACCATAGTGCAGCCTAAAGACTCAAAACCACAGAAGACAGAATTCAAAATAAAGCTTATTCTCTGTAAATCAGTCATTAAGGAGTGACAGAATCACACCCTCCAGAGCAGGCCTAGTATTCCAGGCAGGTGAAAACAGGACATTACACAGACCAGTGTTTCTCAACCAGTGAATCGTGACCCTGGGATGCAGAGTCACAAAAGCTAAGTGGGGTGGGGATGTGAGGGACTGAAAATTTTATTACAATCTATTATTATTGCTACATTTTCTTTACTCTTACTTTTATAGTAAATGCAAGGGAGAGGGAAGTCATGAAAAAAACTGGCTGTGAAGAAGGGGTTGCCAACCTGAAAAGACTGAGAAACACTAACCCAGGCCAGACACATTGGTCTCCACAGGGGTCGCAGAGCACTGTGTTTCTATTGAACTTTGTCATCGAAATGTCCTGACACTGCACTCAAAATGATAGTGTTGAGCTGTGCATCTTTATCCACTTAATCTGTTCTTAAGTGTAATAGGTTGTATGTCTTTCTAAGAGCAACTATGCTTTAGTCTTGGTTTGTAACAAAAACAGTAGATCTATGCAGCTGAGTTATTAAGTTCTACTTTAGTCTAAACCAAATACCACAGTACCACGGTTTGGAGGAGTGAAGGATATTGCATCAGTTGAGTCAGTAATTTTGTTGGCTAGCAAAGGACATTGTCCCGATTTTGCCTTTATGTCTAGGGTTCCAGGCAAAACCTCTGACCAGGTGCCAGTCTCAACATAACATTTGCTTTCAACATACTTAATGAGCTCCAAACAACGGAGAGCAGAACTGCAGATAATCAGCATCAGCACAGACTTCTTCTCCTTGTGGTTTTTACGAAGTTTTGCCCATTTGGGACAGACTGCAACAAGAAATACAAAATACACAGAGAAAGCTATGACTTAAATACATATTGCCACGCTAAATTATACAAGTACATGATGAATAGCTGCCTGCCGAAAGACTATACTTATGGCACACTACTTCATAGTCTTAGTTTGTAAAACATTAAGATATTTCCAAAAAATTAACAAACAAAAGGTCTCATGTACCAAACAATGAAATATGATTACCAAATGGGTTACATTAGAAAACAGGTTACATAAGGGTCAAAATGCAGCGACTGTTTAAATATGCGCAAATCCATTGACTTCATTTGACCCTAAATTTGCAATGCAATTTGATTTATAGTAGTGCTTTAATAGAGAGAAAAATTGTTAAAGGGGATACATTTATTGCACCTGTACCACAAGGATGTAAAAGCAGATCTAGTTAACCAGGACATAAGAGAATTAAAATTCTCATTACTAATTTCAATAGCCAGGGACAGGTAGAAATGGTACAATAAAATGAAGACAACATAATTAGGCCTTGTCTACACTGGTGGCAGCGTACAGGGTACACATAGCTACACCAAGCAGTGAAAAATGCAAGCTGCGTCCACACTTTTTGCGATGTGTAGCTACACAAAGCAGTGAAAGGCTCTGGCAGGGGGGAGAGAGTGGGGAAAGGCTCCAGCTACATGATGTTTCCAGAGCATTTTCCTGCTGCCTCCCCATTGCCAGAGCCTTCCCACACTGCCAGGAATCTTTCACTGCAGCAGGGAAAGGCCCCAGCAGCGGGGAGCTGGCAGAGCCTCTCTCTGCTCCCTTTCCCCTTCTCCACTAGCCTTTCACCACTGCCAGAGCCTTTCCTTGTGGCGGGGAAAAGCTCCAGCAGCAAGGAAACAGCAGAACACTGCACTGCTCAAGACAGCAGTGTACACAGGGAGGCACTGCTTGGGCGTGTAGACAGCCGTGTAGGGCATATGCCATAAGGTTCTGGCATGTCTTTACTCATGTAAAGCTCACCATCTACACCTCTATTATTTATACCCATGCAAAGGGGGCGTGCATTGTATGTACTCTGCACACTACTGTAAGCATAGACACAGCCTTACATATTTAACCAAGTGTGGTCAAATATTAAGAAATATTTCTCAAATATTATTTAAAAGCAAAACTAAAATATTTTGATGCAAAATAATAATCTTGCAGAATACAAATATGCAGAAACATAAAAGATGTAATATAACTGAATTTATGAATATTTCAAGGGCAAGATTAATTTTAATCCTTTAAAAAGTGGAAGTTAAATCCTAGTGAGGAAAATAGAAAGGAGCATAAAATCTGGCTAAATGAAGTGTAAAAATATAATTAGGCAGGCCAAAAAAGAATTTGAAGAACAGCTAGCCAAATACTCAAAAAGTAATAGCAATTTTTTTTTAAGTACATCAGAAGCAGGAAGCCTGCTAAACAACCAGTGGGGCCACTGAATGATCGAAGTGCTAAAGGAACACTCAAGGACGATAAGGCCCTTGTGGAGAAACTAAATGAATTCTTTGCATCGGTCTTCATGGCTGAGGATGTGAGGGAGATTCCCCAACCTGAGCCATTCTTTTTAGGTGACAAATCTGAGGAACTGTCCCAGATTGAGGTGCCATTAGAGGAGGTTTTGGAACAAACTGATAAATTAAACAGCAATAAGTCACCAAGACCAGATGATATTCACCCAAGAGTACTGAAGGAACTCAAATGTGAAATTGCAGGGCTACTACCTGTCGTCCGCAACCTATCATTTAAATCAGCTTCTGTACCAAATGACTGGAGGATAGCTAACGTGACACCAATTTTTAAAAAGGGCTCCAGAAGTGACCCCGGCAATTACAGGCCGGTAAGCCTGACTTCAGTACCGGACAAACTGGTTGAAACTATAGTAAAGAACAAAATTGTCAGACACATAGATGAATATAATTTGTTGGGGACGAGTCAACATGGTTTTTGTAAAGGGAAATCATGCCTCACCAATCTACTAGAATTCTTTGAGGGGGTCAACAAGCATGTGGACAAGGGGGATTCAGTGGACATAATGTATTTAGATTTTTAGAAAGCCTTTGACAAGGTCCCTCACCAAAGGCTCTTAAGCAAAGTAAGTGGTCATGGGATAAGAGGGAAGGTCCTCTCATGCACTGGTAATTGGTTAAAATATAGGAAACAAGGGATAGGAATAAATGGTCAGTTTTCAGAATGGAGAGAGGTAAGTAGTGGTGTCCCCCAGGGGTCTGTACTGGGCCCAGTCCTATTCAACATATTCATAAATGATCTGGAAAAGAGTAAACAGTGAGGTGGCAAAATTTGCAGATGATACAAAACTACTCAAGATAGTTAAGTCCCATGCAGACTGTGAAAGGCTACAAAAGGATCTCTCAAAACCGGGTGACTGGGCAACAAAATGGCAGATGAAATTCAATGTTGATAAATGCAATATAATGCACATTGGAAAACATAATCCCAATTATATATAAAATATGATGGATAGTTCTCTAAAAACATTCACTCAAATGTTCAGCAGCCGTCAAAAATGTTAACAGAATGTTGGGAATCATTAAGAAAGGGATAGATAATAAGATAGAAAATATCATATTGCCGCTATATAAATCCATGGTACGCCCACATCTTGAATACTGCGTGCAGATGTGGCCGCTCCATCTCAAAAAAGATATACTGGACTTGGAAAAGGTTTAGAAAAGGGCCACAGAAATGATTAGGGGTATGGAACGGCTGTCGTATGAGGAGAGATTAATAAGACTGGGACTTTTCAGCTTGGAAAAGAGACGACTAAGGGGGGATATGATAGAGGTCTATAAAATCATGACTGGTGTGGAGAAAGTAAATAAGAAAGTGTTGTTTACTCCTTCTCATTACACAAGAACTAGGGGTCACCCAATGAAATTAATAGGCAGCAGGTTTAAAACAAACAAAAAGAAGTATTTTTTCACATAACGCACAGTCAATCTCTGGAACTCCTTGCCAGAGGATGTTGTGAAGGACAAGACTATAACAGGGTTCAAAAAAAGAACTAAATAAATTCACGGAGGATACGTCCCTCAATGACTATTAGCCAAGATGGGCAGGGATGGTTTCCCTAGCCTCTGTTTGCCAGAAGCTGGGAATGGGCGACAGGGGATGAATCACTTGATGATGACCTGTTCTGTTCATTCCCTCCAGGGCACCTGGTATTGGTCTCTGTTGGAAGACAGGATACTAGGCTAGATGGACCTTTGGTTTGACCCAGTATGGCCGTTCTTATGTTCTTAAGTGGGCAGATATGCATACTATCTTGTGTATATATCATGAGGATTTTACTTTCTCTTGAATACTGCTCTAAAAATTTTTTTTTTATAAATGAACTCCACACTCCTTGCGACCAATATTTTACTCACTTTCCTTCAGGTATGAAGAAAAACTGTGGGTGAGGTCATTGGCTGGCAGGAAACAGGAATCTGAAACCATAAGAGACAAAATGTTTTTGTTGATAGATGTGCAACAGAATAATTGAGTAGATTCATAAGTTTACAGTACAACACTAGGTATATCTATTAAATCTTTCTTGGATTAAATCTACCAGTAATGCTTATTCTTTGAAAACTATGTGGATTGCCCTTTGGAAAGGCAGAGTTTTGTGGTCCCCACTACGCAAACGCAATGAGCTTGTGAACTGGTTAACTGAATCATGGTAAAATCTATCAACACAATTTTAATGCCCTCCTCAATTATCTGAATGTTTTTCTCCCCTCACCCACCATAAATATAGCATTACACAACTGACCACATACATAATGGAGGGTTTTCACATGCCTTTGTGGCATCTATCAGAAGCCACAGCCAGAACCATTATGATTTTTTGGATCATTGGTCCAATCCAACATGGCAAATCCTACATTCAGGAGTCACTAAAACAATCAGGATTGTATAGAATAAAAGTAAGATGTGGGTCATCTTCTTATCAATGGGGTTACTTTTCTCTCTGGACTTTCACATTGCACAACTCTGTAAATTATGCTCAATCACAGTTATATAAATATTGACATGCATTTTAATTCCCCATCCTCACTAGAAGGCTCTCTGCATGACACTGTCTCTATCCCAGATATAAAGCTGCCAAATTTTACCCAGCCGCTAATCTCCATTCAGTTAGACCAATAGCTGTCAATGGCCATTAGTCTCCTCCTTTTTGTGAGGACGCACAAACTCAGAGTTTTAACACAGACTACCAGATGCACCCAACCACACCATCATTATGCTGCATGAAACCTGGCACTCCAGGAAGCATGTCTTTAGGAGGAGTATGTTTAGTAATGTGTCTGTAATCATGTAAATTAAATATTTTTTTATTCTGACAATGATAAAACTATTGGATTAAAAAATCTCTCTGACCATGTGTTGTAAAATACCTTATGTGTTAGTTAAAGGCAATTTGGTGTCAATCTGAAAACCTTAATGAGAGGACACAAAAGGTATATGCTTCCACATGATTTGTGCCAAGTATCAAGAATGGGCAGTTTGTTTCTGATACTGTAACTGTGGTGTCCCCTAGAATTTATTTTAAAGTAGGATGGCACAAAATTCTAGCCTGAGGTATTTCAGAACGACTTGCGCTGAATCCCAGACCAGAGCTGCACTTGCCAGTTTAACAGCTTTCCTTCTGTTTGTCTCTCCTAGTTTTAAATAATTAGTATTAAGTGATCATGAGAAAGCATTTTGATTGTGGATGCACGTGTAATTATCAGCATGTTACTTGTCCAAACATTAAACAGAACATATTAACACCTCAATCTATCCGCTAACAGGTTTTGGACCAAATTAACCCCAGCAGCTACCTGTTGTCAACTGATCCCCAAGCACCTGACAGGGGAATCACTCAGATTCAAACAAAGCCGAGGCTATGTTATTGCTGCCAACCTCACTCCACCATTTCTGACAGCCTGAATGTGAAGGCAGACTTAATTTATAGCTGGAGCACAGCAGAAGCCCTGCCAGCTAAATTTGCTGAAGGAAGCTGCTTTCCATCATTGCACTCTCCATGTGGTGGATTTTCTATTGCTGCAATCTTAGGTTTTTACCACTGGAATTCAGAATCTGACCCCTTGTATTAAAATCACTTCCTAATTGTTTACTTAGGGGCTCGTGTCTAAAAGGAGGTGAGGGTGCTCAGTACCTTGCAGGATCAGTCCCTGATTTATGCATTTGGTTTTCTATTTACAAGATGCACCTCCCCTGCACTGTAGGATAAAGCACTAAGGTTTCAACTGCAGTTTTATTTCCAAAGGTGAAGCTATCAATTCTGAATGAGTCCAAAGGGCAGCGTAGAAAAGACTTTACAAGGAGTAATTTCACAGCTCTAAATGTCTATTTTTGGTGCTGTCCTATCTTCAGTCCTTCAGGGTAGTTGTGTCATCTATCTTTGCCATTATTTGTGCTAATGAGGGCCCAGCCAGTCTGAATACAGTAACTCATATTAATGACTTAATAATGCTGAATAATTCAGAGGAAGATGTAGAAGGACGGAGTTCTTAATTTTCCAATTTCAAAGGGAAACTAAATACATGTCGTAGGTCAATGACTATTTTCACCAAACCATCAGAACCGGGATGTTAACAGTACCTTAAAACCCCCAGAAAGGATTAAAACCACATAACCACAGCTTGCAGCAGCCCGAAACCAAGTTGGCTTAAACCCGAACATCTAAGTTTAATATTTTGCTAACACAACTAAACAACTTCAAGTAGATGCCCTCTGTTCTGCCCAGTGAGTTGATATGAATGACTTGACAGCTACAGAAGCCACCAACCCCTTCGGCTTTGTAAGCTTCCAAATCTCCCTTCAAGAAAAGAAAGAAAAAAACAACCCAAGACCCAATCCATATGGAAATGGGTTGCTTCACTAGCCTAAAGGCCTTTCTTAATAGGAAAGTGACAAAGTATTGTTATTTGCACAAAACCCTATGGGTTTAGGGGTACAGAATGTAAGTGCTTCATAGCAATACAGAGGATGAAAGAGACTTCTCTGGTTTTTAGGATGCAACGCAGCAGGATGGCAAAACTCTCCCTTGATTCAAGAAGAAAGCTAAGCTGACCCTAGAGAAAGAAAGGAAGGTCAGTCCAGGATCACGTCTCTGCATGAAGCTGGGAAGAGAGTGCAGTTATCTAGAAAGACAAGCTTTGAACAGTCAAAAACAGAGAGTGCAGCTTGACTGAAAGGATCATAGTGGGGCACAGGGCACAAAGAGTTCAGTGTGTATCAGTGGGATAAAATGAGAGCCAACAGACTTGTTACTGGGGCCCTTTTGACTCTGAGTATACAATATCAATACACAGGCGCTCACAGTATCTTCTTATATAACCTAACAACAAGAATTAATGCTACAGCTTGGGCTCAAAATAAGGAATCATGAAATTTTTTAGGCTAAAGCTTTTAGGGGTTAAGGTAAGCTACGCCAGGGGGTGGAGGGAGGAGGAGAAGGCCTCTCTGTCTAAACCAAAAAGAAAATTGTAATGATTTTTATTACAAGCCCCCTCCCCTCCACTTTGACAGCACTGGAAAAGTGGATTTTTATTAAACCTCCTTCCCCCCTTCACATTGACAGCACTGGAAAACTAATTTCACTTTATTCATAGAACAAAAAGCACAGCAGTGCAGTTTCCTCTTCACCTCAAACCTTTAGTGGGGTGAGATGGGAGTTCAGTCTCCATGCCCTACCCATTTTATCATTGGGCTCACCAGTCTCTCTCCAGTCAGACTGCCAACAAGCAACCAGTTTAGGTACAAAATCTGTCCACTAGGTCTGAAGGACTAAAGCTGCCAGCTCATTTCATACAGCTCACCAAAAAGCCAACAGGTGATAAGAGCAGTATAGTCAGCATTCCATAGCTAATTCAGAATGGTGTCTGACTATTCTTCCTTCTTTAGAATTTATTGCAGCTCAGGTGAAGCCTTATCTTAAATGTCTGAGTACAGCGCCACTAACCACAGGAATAAGACCAATTTTCCTGGCTCTCAGTAACTTGAAAACCATTACTTAGAAATCCCTGCACTTCTATCAAAAAAAGAAACTTCCTGAAATTAATGTTCTGCAAAGACTGGATATGTTGAAACAATGCTTCCTTTCGTTTCCTTAACTGCACCATTTAGAAAACAAACCCACTTACTTATTCCAAAAGAACTCACAACTCATTTTAAACACCACAGCAATACCCTACAAGAAAAAATTCTCATAAAACCCCATAGAACTCAGAGATCTGGATTAAGAAGCCCTTTAGTTCCTAAAACAGATGAATCCCCATCCCCCATGCAGAAGGAAATGCACAATGCTCTTTGATACAGCACATTTTACCTGGCAGTTTTAACTCTTCTAGTTCAATCACTGAACGTTTAGTACCGAAGTGTTGATTAAGCAGCTTTTGTAGGTCTTCAGGGACACCTGGTTTTGGAGATGATTTTGCAAGAATATCAGAAATTTTCTTCTATAAACAAAAGTAAGAAGAAAAAAAAAGGAGATGTAAGGCATTTTCAATATGGTGTTTGCTATTTGACAATCTAACGATAATCTGTAAGAGTATGTTTCTTCATAATCTTATACAGGTGAAACAGAGTCCTAAAGTCCTTATAATTGGGCAAAACTCCCATTGCCTTCATTGGGAGTGAAAATTTCAGAGCTGGGTCCGCAGCCTGTGAAGTAAAAACAAAAACATCTTTTCTGTGTACCTCTGTTATGCACTTTACTGCAATACTGGGATTTTCTCAAAGATTGTGTTGGGGGAGGAGTTGGGTGATGGGTTTTTTAATTTATTACTTTATCACTATTGCCAAGTCTCACAAATGTGTCACAAATCTTACAATAATAGGTGTTTTTCTTAAAGCAACAGCTAGAGGAGTCAAGAGATTACTGAAGAATCTCAGCTCTCATTTAAATGTAAAAGGTAAACTTGCAGCCCAATTGATTGCATAGAATAGTTTGGAAACACAACTAGAGAATAGCCTAACAGCTCAAAAACCAACAGGCAAAGAAAACCCCCCAAAACATTTATATGAAATGTTATTGCTTTTAAACTGATCGTGATTCTGGGGGGCCTAGTTCATGATTTTTGAATGACTGCGGTTGACAATACTGCTCTAGAAATATCAAGAATTAGGGTTCCCAATTGTGATTGGATGTATTCCTGGAGATTTCATCACATGACATAATCATGAATGGAAGATTAATCTTTGATTCCTGGAGACTCTGGGCCAATCCTGGGGGGTTGGCAACCCTATCAAGAATACCAGGCCCTCATTTCCATCTGTTTGTTGGAGGATCTTGGCAAGATCTTTCTAGGACCTGGATGGTGATATCTCAAGAGGCTGAAACCTGAGGTACAGTTTTCAATCTCCAACTAGGGGACAGGAGCAGGGATGCTGGGTTGTACAGCATAAGGACATGTCAGCAGTTGAAATTTCAAGTGCATTATTATATATAAACACTTTGAGACTATTTGCATACATCATAAAGGAGAATGAAACTTTTTAAAAATTCTGAGCAGCCTACCTTTAACCAGCAGTCATGAAGATAATATTTTATAAATGAAGCCTACATTTAGGGCTTGATCTTAATCCCACTGAAATGAGTCAGAGTTTTGCCATGCTTTGAAGTCATAATTTCACTTTCTAAATTAATTAATTAAATGAATGACAAGGGAAGAGAACCTGGGTCCCTCTTTATTTAAATGATCTTACTGCTTTTAAAAACAAGAGATTTTCAAGCAGAGAAGGCAGCTTGGCATGACAGAGGGTATTACAATATGGACAACCCTAACAGCCAAACTGTGAACTCCTTATTCCTGTTAGTAACATGTTACTCGCTTGAGCGATCCCAGCTAACTGCTCACCAATGGGACTAAAGAGATCAGAACCTGGCCCTAAGAAAGGTCTTGAAAATTTTTTGTCCAGTCCCAAAACATTTAGGCCCTGAACCAGAACCTTTTGAAAGCACTGGGAGCATTTGCAGCGGACTTTGGCACAAGCCCTTGCAGTGTCTATGTGATTTCACTCAGTGAACAGCAGTAATTAAAGTTCCATCCTGATTCGGTAAAATTTTCCTGCTGTGTAATGACTGCAAGCTGGGCCACTTTTTGGAGATGTTTTATAGAGAGTAATTATCTAACAGATAATAACCCAAGAACAACAAGACTCATTCTGCTTAGTACCACAGGATAATTGGCGTTTCACTGGCTCATTACGTCATTCACTGACTCACTCAATTCCTTCTGGAAAATTATGGTTCTCTTGAGGAAGATGCTGATGTTAACGAGAAATTCCATAACAGTCAGTTCAAGGACACCTGATCATACTCTTTTTCTTCAAGGAGCGCTCTGGGAAAATGTTCTTCACACAGGAAGTTTTATTATTTTTCCTCCAATCCATTCCAGATGCTTAAGGAGCAAAGGGTTTTATTTGACTTTATTTATTTATTTATTTATTTATTTATAAAAGAGAGAGTCATTAGTTTCAGACCTATATGTTAGTACAGTATGATAAATTCTTCATGATGATTATTTGACAGGTTATGTGTACAGACTTAATGGCATATTACCACTGAAAAAAAAGATCTAACTAAGCCTCTACTGTTTGCATGAAAACTGGAGGTTTATTTTAGGTCCAGTCACCCATTTCCATCATGGGACACATTTGTTTTGGCTGCAGAGAAAGTGACGTGGTTATTAATGCCAGAGCTACATTTAAGGCAAAATCCTCCCATCTGCTGGGGTGTGTGCAAGGTCTAACATGAAATTAAAACCCTGTGTACCTGCTCTGTGAGACAGTTCAGCATTTTAGTCTGTTCAGAAAGACAACACACTTTGTGCTATATAATCTCCACCAGGACTGTGGAGGGTCCCCCTGGGGACAGACATGGGTCATGGTCAGAAGGTCAATACATAGCATGGACCCCAGTAGCTATACTGTGGGGAGAAAGGGGACCAAAGCACTACTGCTCGTGAAATGCAGTAAATGCTGCAGCCTGGCTGCAAGGATGGGATGGGGTGATTCTGTCTCCCCCAATGCTCTTTCAATCCCTGCATTAATTTCTTCTAGTCAGCTTTGGACACAAGGTTGTAGCTGGGTACGTAGGTGTGAAGCAGGTATTTGACTGGAGTTGAGAAAGGTTTCTCTTCTAAGACAGAGTTGATTTTCTCTCTTTCATAAAACTGGCTGCAATGTTATGGTCCCAGTACACTACACCAAGGGAAACAAGCTTCTAAAACCATTTAAAGGACATCACTGGCATTGTGCTATCCTGAAGCTGACATGTCTTATAAAAGCAACTGCACTCTGCCAGCCCCTGAAGACCATTTGTGTTGAACTTTTAGTTGGGAGGGGGGGTGGGGGGAGAGGGGGTTTCCAATACCTTCTTTCTCCTTTTCACCTTCGCAGTGCTTTCTTCTTTTTCCTCAGGACGAGTTAGAAAACATTCCGCAGGCTGCAAAGCACATATTGTAAAAAGAGATTCATTATGAGAGAGATTATTACCCCAAAACACCACAGAACATGATGATGTGGGGGCAGATGTTGGGTACAAAGATTCAGATACTGACAGAGAAAAAAAATATGTATAGGTTTGGGGTAAAACTCTGCCCTGTTACAGTGGTGTAAAGCTGGGGTAACTTCTGGAACTACTTCATATTCACTCTGGTGTAACAGAGAACAGAGAAAAAGCACAGAAACCTGAAACGTACGAGACACAGGCACACCATTATCATCCGGTTTACAGCATGTTTAATACAACAACAAAAATCATAAGGAAAAAGCAAACAGAGCTTTCAAAAATTAAATACATGTAATCTCTATTATTGTGTGAGACAATCATTCTAACTTTGCCAAACAGGCCTTTGTAATAATTGGGTACAACCTGAACAACCAGCTGGTGAACTATACTGTACAGATAGGAGAGAATAACTTGAAATAATGATTTTTCTGTATTTCTGATTTCCTTTATTTTATGTTTATAATGTAACATTTTTCAAGAAATGTTTTCAAATTTTGCTTTTGCTGTTCCTTATTTAATACCAGGAAGATTGGCTTTTTAGTCCATGAAATGTCTCTTTGGTTCATTTCTCCATACTTGTATGTGTTTAGGATGATCAGTATATGAGCACTCAGTTTGTAAAGGTGGCAAACGAGAGAGATCATGTCCAGAGGTCACAAGAAAATTAAATATAGTGGCAGCTCATGTACCATCAATGGTATATGCATAACAGTTTGAGAACTGCAGGTGTAGCTGACAGCTGGGTTTTATTAATGGGGCTTAGTCCAAACAGCTCCTAAATCCTGCCACTATGAGTGTGACTCTCATGTGGACAGCATGTGTTAAGATACTAAATTAAAGCCAAATCATCTTCCTAACTCTAGCCGAGATTATAAATGGAGCCAGGAAAGGGAAATCTCTCTCTCGTCCATTCCCCACCTCTCATCTCAGTCCAGCAGGTCACAAAGTTTCGGATCCATTATCTGTGCTGTTATCACTGTTGTAAGAGACACAAGGTAGGTGAGGTAATATCTGTTGGTGGAAGCTCTGTGTATCTCAAAAGCTTGTAACTTCTACCAACAGAAGTTGGTCCAATAACAGATATTACCTCACCTACTTTGTCTGTCTCATATCCTGGGACCAAAAGGGCTACAACAATACTGCAAACAATTATTGCTATAAGTTACTTCCATTGTGGTAGCATCTCCAGGATCAGGAGACCATTGTGCTAGATGCTGTACAAATATAATGCCCAGGCAACTCACTTCCCTGTTCCTGTGAGTTTAAGTTTTTCTCTTCTTAGCTGCAGAAGACTCCTTTGGCAGTGGAGCCGTGTAGGCCTGGTGAGCTGATGAGCCCATGAACACAAGTACAATTTATTCAGACACAACAACTCCACACCACATATAACTGAGATGTTTGCATAAATCTAATTACAGTGAATGGCTGTGAGCTTATGTGTGTCCTTTGTTGATGGTTTGGAATCTTCAGTAGTTTAAGTATCTTATCAAGACCAAGCTTCAGACCCTTCTGCAAGTATTGTTTCTCCTACTCTTGCTCATTCAGCAGCTTTTTGCAAATTGCCATTAAAAAAATTATTTGCATTTTTTCCTTCTGAATTGTACTGTGCAGACAACCCACTGATTTTGACTTGGCTCCATGTACTCTGCATATTTTTGTGCTATTTTTATATGGAAGTTTTAAAAATGCAGAAAAACAGGAAATTTGTGCTGAGACCTTTGATTTATGAAATGAAATGCCATGAATTTCATGTTTGTTAATCACAGACAGAACATAAAATGTTTCCTGTGTTATGTTTCTAATGCAACATCTCTGCACGTCGCCAAGTTACTGAAAAACCAAAATGTAAAGTGAAAACATTCTTGTGTCTGAGAGAGAAAGAGTGAAAGTTTACATTCCAATTAAGCCATCCACTGAATTTGGGAGTTACTGACAAAATAAACATTTCAACCCCCTGCTTTAAAATGGAGACAAATTATTCTTTTCATTGTGGGTCTGCAGACAGTCTATGAATTAATTGAACTATCAAAATAGTCTGTGGACTGAAAATATATATGTTAATAATTCCATTAATTTCTCTCCTGACTGGTTTCCATACAGCAAGGCCACAACAAAATAGCTTCTGGACTGTAGATTAGACAGGAGTGAAGTGGATTACATCTGCAATTTAATATGCACCAGAAATGCAAAATTCAAGTGAAATACAAACATTAAAATTATAGGCACTTCTATAAACATATTGGATTAGAAAACTTTCTGGCAACAAAAAAGCTGTATGATATTGTAATGAATTTGTGGCCTCATGATGCCACATACCATTGCCACATGGAGCGTCATAGCTGCTGTGGGGCTAAAGCTCAGAACCCTCCTGCTCCAAAATCCAGGCTTCTACTCCTTAAACTAAATGAAGATCTTTGTTACCAGCAAAAGTCCTAGACCAGGGTTCTCAACCTTTTTCCTTTTTTTTTTTTTTTTTTGGGTGGGGGGCGGGCACTCAGGCATGGGTGTAATTTGATTTCTATTTTGGATGGGCACGGGCCAGCGGGGCTTGAGTCAGCTTCACATGGCAGGGTTCATGGAGGGAGCACCACCTCCACCCCATCTCACCTCAGCAGGCCACCTACCAGTCTGGGTTGGGTAGCGGGAGGGGCAACCAAAAATTATAGCTCAAAGGTGGGGGGTTCAGCTCAAAAAGTTTGAAAACAGCTTAGGGTGCAGGAGGAGAGGTAGCTAAGGGCTGTGTGTGGGCCAGGGGGTAGCTCAGGGTGCATAGAGGGGGGTAGCTCGGTGCAGGGAGGGGGGTAGCCAGGGGGTGTCTGTGGGCAGGTGGGTAGCTCAGGGTGCGGGGGGGTAGCTCAGGATCCAGGGAGAGGGGTAGCTAGGGGCTGTGTGTGGGCAGGCAGTATAGCTCGGGGTGCAGAGAGGGGCTGTGTGGGGGCACGGGGTAGCTCAGGGTGCAGGGACAGCAGTAGCTAGGGGTTATGTGAGGGTGCAGAGAGGGGGATAGTAGGGGCTGTGTGGGGGCAGAGGGTAGCTCAGGGTGCAGAGAGGGGGGTATAGCACAGGGAGCAGAGAGGGGGATAGCTAGGGGCTGTGTGCAGGCAGGGAGGTAGCTCAGGTTGCAGGGACAGGGGTAGGTAGGGGCTGTGTGGGGGTAGGGGGTAGCTCAGGGTGCAGAGAGGGGGTAGCTAGGGACTGTGTGCGGGCAGGGGTGTAGCTCAGCCATGGTCTACACTAGGAGTTGAGGTTGAACTTAGCAGCATTAAATAGATTTAACCCTGCACTCGTCCACATGACGAAGACCTTTTTTTCGACTTAAAGGGCTCTTAAAATCTATTTCCTTACTCCACGCCCGACAAGGGGATTAGCGCTGAAATCGGCCTTGCCGGGTCTAATTTGGGGTACTATGGACGCAATTAGACGGTATTGGCCTCCGGGAGCTATCTCAGAGTGCTCCAGTGTGACCGTTCTGGACAGCACTCTCAACTCAGATGCACTGGCCAGGTAGACAGGAAAAGGCCCGCGAACTTTTGAATTTCATTTCCTGTTTGGCCAGCGTGGCAAGCTGCAGGTGACCATGCAGAGCTCATCAGCAGAGGTGACCATGATGGAGTCTCAGAATCGCAAAAGAGCTCCAGCATGGACCGAACGGGAGGTACGGGATCTGATCGCTATATGAGAGGGGAGAGGAATCCGTGCTATCAGAACTCCGTTCCAGTTTTCGAAATGCCAAAACATTTGTCAAAATCTCCCAGGGCATTCAGAGGCCATAACAGGGATGCGAAGCAGTGCCGCATGAAACTTAAGGAGCTGAGGCAAGCCTACCAGAAAACCAGACAGGCAAATGGCCGCTCTGGGTCAGAGCCCAAAACATGCTGCTTCTATGATGAGCTGCATGCCATTTTAGGGGGTTCAGCCACCACTACCCCAACTGTGTTGTTTGACTCCTTCAATGGAGATGGAGGCAACACGGAAGCAGGTTTTGGGGACGAGGAAGATGATGATGACGAGGTTGTAGATAGCTCACAGCAAGCAAGCAGAGAAACCGGTTTTCCCGACAGCCAGGAACTGTTTCTCACCTTGGACCTGGAGCCAGTACCCCCTGAACCCACCCAAGGCTGCCTCCCGGACCCGCCAGGTGCAGAAGGGACCTCTGGTGAGTGTACCTTTTTAAACAGTATACATGGTTGAAAAGCAAATGTGTTTAATGATTAATTTCCCCTGGCATTCGCGGCCAGTACAGCTACTGGAGAAGTCTGTTAACGTGTCTGGGGATGGAGCAGAAATCCTCCAGGGACATCTCCATAAAGCTCTCCTGGATGTACTCCCAAAGCCTTTGCAAAAGGTTTCTGGGGAGGGCAGCCTTATTCCGTCCACCATGGTAGGACACTTTACCACGCCAGGCCAGTAGCACATAGTCAGGAATCATTGCAGAACAAAGCATTGTAGTGTATGTTTGCTGGCGTTCAAACAACATCCGTTCTTTATCTCTCTGTGTTATCCTCAGGAGAGTGATATCATTCATGGTCACCTGGTTGAAATAGGGTGCTTTTCTGAAGGGGACATTCAGAGGTGCCCGTTCCTGCTGGGCTGTTTGCCTGTGGCTGAACAGAAATGTTCCCACTGTTAGCCACGGTGAGGGGGGAGGGGCTAGCCACGTGGTGGTGGGGGGAGGCAAAATGTGACCTTGGAACGAAAACACATGTGCTATGTACGTAATGTTAACAGCAAGGTTTACCGTGAAAGAGAGTGTACCCATTGTTCTATAAAATGTGTCTTTTTAAATACCACTGTCCCTTTTTTTTTCTCTACCAGCTGCATGTGTTTCAAGGATCACAGGATCTTCTCCTTCCCAGAGGCCAGCGAAGATTAGAAGGTGAAAAAAACACATTCGCGATGAAATGTTCTCTGAGCTCATGCTGTTCTCCCACACTGACAGAGCATAGACGAATGCGTGGAGGCAGACAACGTCAGAGTGCAGGAAAGGACAAAATGACCGGGAGGAGAGGTGGCGGGCTGAAGAGAGGATGGAAGCTGAAAGGTGGCGACAGCGTGATGAGAGGAGGCAGGATTTAATGCTGAGGCTGCTGGAGGATCAAACCAATATGCTCCAGAGTATGGTTGAGCTGCAGGAAAGGCAGCTGGAGCACAGACCACCACTACAGCGCCTGTGTAACCAACCGCCCTCCTCCCCAAGTTCCACAGCCTCCACACCCAGACGCCCAAGAACGCGGTGGGGGGGTCTCCGGCCACTCCACCCCAGAGGATTGCCCAAGCAACAGAAGGCTGGCATTCAATAAGTTTTAAAGTTTTAAACTTTTAAAGTGCTGTGTGGCCTTGTCCTTCCCTCCTCCACCACCTCTCCCAGGCTACCTTGGTAGTTATCCCCCTATTTGTGTGATGAATGAATAAAGAATGCATGAATGTGAAGCAACAATGACTTATTGCCTCTGCAAGCGGTGATCGAAGGGAGGAGAGGAGGGTGGTTAGCTTACAGGGAAGTAGAGTGAACCAAGGGGGGTGGAGAGATCATCAAGGAGAAAAAAACAGAACTTTCACACCATAGCCTGGCCAGTCATGAAACTGGTTTTCAAAGCTTCTCTGATGCGCACCGCGCCCTCCTGTGCTCTTCTAATTGCCCTGATGTCTGGCTGCGTATAACCAGTGGCCGGGTGATTTGCCTCAACCTCCCACCCCGCCATAAACGTCTCCCCCTTACTCTCACAGATATTGTGGAGTGCACAACAAGCAGTAATAACAGTGGGAATATTGGTTTCGCTGAGGTCTAACCGAGTCAGTAAACTGCGCCAGCGCGCCTTTAAACGTCCAAATGCACATTCTCCCACCATTCTGCACTTGCTCAGCCTGCAGTTGAACAGCTCCTGACTACTGTCCAGGCTGCCTGTGTACGGCTTCATGAGCCCTGGCGTTAAGGGGTAGGCTGGGTCTCTAAGGGTAACTATAGGCATTTCAACATCCCCAATGGTTACTTTCTGGTCTGGGAATAAAGTCCCTTCCTGCAGCTTTTGAAACAGACCAGAGTTCCTGAAGATGCGAGCGTCATGTATCTTTCCCGGTCATCCCACGTTGATGTTGGTGAAACGTCCCTTGTGATCCACCAGTGCTTGCAGCACTATTGAAAAGTACCCCTTGCGGTTTACGTACCCACCAGCTTGGTGCTCCGGTGCCAAGATAGGGATATGGGTTCCGTCTATGGCCCCAACACAGTTAGGGAATCCCATTGCAGCAAAGCCATCCACTATGACCTGCACATTTCCCAGGGTCACTACCCTTGATATCAGCAGATCTTTGATTGCATTGGCTACTTGCATCACAGCAGCCCCCACAGTAGATTTGCCCACTCCAAATTGATTTCCGCCTGACCGGTAGCTGTCTGGTGTTGCAAGCTTCCACAGGCCTATTGCCACTCGCTTCTCAACTGTGAGGGCTGCTCTCATCTTGGTATTATTGTGCCTCAGGGCAGGGGAAAGCAGGTCACAAAGTTCCACGAAAGCACCCTTACGCATGCAAAACTTTCACAGCCACTGGGAATCGTCCCAGACCTGCAACACTATGCAGTCCCGCCAGTCTGTGCTTGTTTCCCAGGGCCCAGAATCGGCATTCCACCACATGATGCCCACATTGCCAGGGCCTGTGCTTTGAGAGAAGTCTGTGTCCATGTCCTCATCACTCTCGTCACTGCGCTGACGTTGCCTACTTGCCCGGTTTCACTTTGCCAGGTTCTGGTGCTGCATACACTGCTGGATAATGTGTGTGGTGTTTAATGTGCTCCTAATTGCCAAAGTGATCTGAGCGGGCTCCATGCTTGCCGTGGTATGGCGTCTGCACAGAAAAAAGGCGTGGAATGATTGTCTGCCGTTGCCCTGATGGAGGGAGGGGCAACTGATGACATAGCTTACAGGATTGGCTTACAGGGAATTAAAATCAACAAAGGGGGTGGCTTTACATCAAGGAGAAACAAAAACAACTGTCACACAGAATGGCCCCCTCAAGGATTGAACTCAAAACCCTGGGTTTAGCAGGCCAATGCTCAACCCAATGCTCAACCCACTGAGCTATCCCTCCCCCCGGTATTTCAGGCAGGACTGAATCTCCATTAAACTTTTCAAGGTGCCCCTGACAGACCTCATTGAAATGATTGCCGGACGTTGATTTCACGGAGGGAGGGAGGGGGGAGCAAATGAATACAAAACAAATCTGGTCTATTTTTTGTTTTGATCCACTCCATCTATCTTTTACATCTTTGGCTGGCAGCAGACGGTGCAGTAGGACTGCTAGCCATCCTCATCTCCTGCCTGCTCGGCAGAAGATGGTGCAACAAGACTACTAGCCATCCTCATCTCCTGCCTGCTTGCCATAAGACGGTACAATAGGACTGCTGGCAGGACTAAAGAGAATGACCTGGTTGAGTCACTCCTATTTTAGTCTTTGTGCCCATGTCTGCCCAGGCGCGCCTTACCAAGGCGGCCAGGAGCACCTCGGACGATGGTTATCAGGCCTATTGCACCGTCTGCTGCCACAAGGCAATGGGTTGCTGCTGTGTAGCAATGCAGTACCGGGTCTGCCAGCACCCAGGAGAGGAACGGTGACAGCGAGCTGAGCGGGCTCCGTGCTTGCAGTGGTATGGCGTCTGCACAGGTAACTCAGGAAAAAAGGTGCGAAACGATTGTCTGCCCTTGCTTTCACAGAGGGAGGGAGGGCCTGATGACATGTACCCAGAACCACCCGCGACAATGTTTTTGCCCCATTAGACATTGGGATCTCAACCCAGAATTCCAATGGGCGGCGGAGACTGCGAGAACTGTGGGATAGCTACCCACAGTGCAACGCTCCTGAAGTCGATGCTAGCCTCAGTACTGTGGAAGCACTTTGCTGAGTTAATGCACTTAGAGCATTTTGTGTGGCGACACACACAATCGACTATATAAAAACGAGTTCTAAAAAAACTACTTCTATAAATTCGACCCAATTTCGTAGCGTAGACATACCCTCAGGGTGCAGGGAGAGGGGTAACCAGGGGCTAAGTGCAGGCGGGGGGTGGGGGGAGGGAGAAGTGTAGCTCAGGGTGCAGGGAGTATGGTACTAGGAGCTGAGTGCGAAGAAAGCTCCCCTGCGGTTCCTGTGCCTCTGCCAGCCATGGAACCAGGTGCCAAGGCACCGTCTGCGTGAGCAAAGAGGTCTGCGAGCTGAGGAGCAGCTTCAACCCCCTGCACCAGCAGCAGCAGGAGACGAGGGAACGCCGCAGCTGCCTGCTCCATGGCACCAGCCAAAGCAGTAGCTGTCCTGCACTGCCCGTGCCCAGCTCCAGCTTCCCACCTCCGACCTGGCCAGGGGGCGGAGAGAGGAGGTGGAAGGATGTGTATGTAGCTGCCCCTGGACTGCCCTGCTCTTGAGGTGTAGTCTGGGGGAGGCAACAACCCCATACCTCCCAACTCTGCCCATGGGCTCAGGGCTTCTGCCCCTTGGGGAGCACCAGGGCTCGGGGCTCCGGGATTCAGCCCTGCTGCTCCTGGCTTCAGCCCCGTGGGGGGCGCCGGGGATCAGGGCTTCAACTCTGCGGTCCTGGCTTCAGCCCTGCGGGATGGGGCTTGGGTTTTAGACGAGGGGCCTGATGGCCCTCCTGAAAGAGTTCACAGACCCGCTGAAGAACCGCTGTCCTAGGCCACAGTTAAGCAGTCTAATTTCATCCAATAGGAGACAGTGCTACATGTACAGCAGCTTACTCTTTGCAATGACTTTTATTTCATTTTAAATGTTAAACTGTAGTTAGTGGTGGCAAAAGTTGCTGTACTAACAGCCTTGAACTCCTCTGTTTATCTGCAGCACAGATACAGGATGGGCAATGGTAGTGTAAGCCTCCCACACATTCCTCAGCCAAACAGCCCCCATCATGACCAGGAGGTGGACAGACGTTCTCTGTCCATGGCACATTCAGTCCTTGGTGCCTCTGCAGAAACCACCAAATAAGGTGGCAATAAATGCTAATGGTGTTTCTGACACTTGTCCATCACAAGCTGGAATGATACTACAAGCTTACTTCACCTGTCCCACTGGATACCCATCATACAGTTAGAACTTCTAGCTACTACTGACCTGCGCCAAATTGAAAACTGATGACCTAAAGCAGAAAGATTCTTATTTCATTCCTAATCCATTATATCCATCCAGTTCACTCTCGTGTATGATACTTTGAAGGCAACAATACTAGGAGACCTTTTAAACTCCACAGTATGTTATGGATGAGTCTTCTTTCTGCCTAGTTGCCAGTTTAGTCAGCTGGATCTTTTATTATTAAGCACATCCTGCAAGGTGCTGAGCATCCTCAATTCCTGCTGGTTTCAGTCGTAGTTGAAGGTGCTCAACATTTTACAAAACTGGGCTCTAAAAATGTCCATCACCTGGGACCCAGTCAGTCCTCCCTCAAGTCTAAGGGCCATTTCAATGAGGGCAGGTTCTGGTTGTCTCTCTGGGTGCTGTACAATATTTAAATCATAAACTATAAGACTCTTCAGGCAATGTCAACATTAAAAGACTGGCACATCACTTAGCCCTACACCACAGCACAGTCACCTGACTCAAGCCTGGGGAAAGAGATGGGCTCTGCGCCCTACTATACCTGTATAAAATGAGACTAAAGTTATTGAAATTTCTTAAGATTGGAACCTAATAGTTTCCAAATAATGCTGGCAACACAGCAGTACTAAGCAAGAGATCAGGACAGTAAGTGGAGAAATGCACCGTTTATTTAGGGTGAAAAGCCTGATTTCATTATGTATTATTATCTCTATAGTCATAAATCTTACCAACCTGTTTTCTTTTCTTTGATGCAGCAGGTTTGGACTTGGAGTCCAAGTCAGGCTTCGCTGGTTTACTTGCGTTAGTTGATTTTTCCATTTCTTCATCATCAGAAGGATCTGAGAAAAAACGCAGTTTTGTTTTTTTTTAAACACACCTCTCAACTTTCCATTAGAAAAATGTACAACAACAGTGATAATAGCTTCTATTGGGAGGAAGGTCACTGTAACATCATGCCCAGTTTATTTACATGAAACAACTTCAGCAGCAAGTAGCATAGTTCCAAAATACAAGTGATTGAAGATTACTTCCATAGTCACTCTTAATATTTTCAAGCCTCTCTGCTCTATAAGACAATCTATTTTTCTATCTTTGTGGAATTCAGTGAATAACCTGCCACCTGCAGTATTATTAATAGTAATTTACAACCCCTCCAAGAAATCTCAATCTCAGTTAGCAAAATGCCAAAAACATATTCATTCATTGTTTATTAACTACAGTTCTACAAGTTTAGTTACATAGCTCAGCTTTATTTCAAGACAAGTAAAAGCATGACCCTGATCCATGGCCCAAGATTTCCTATGTTCAGTTGTGGACCAATCCTAATAAAGCACTGCTAGATCAACAAACCAGCAACAACACTACTGCTAGGAAATAATAATTTTTAGACCATAGGATTGCTGGGAAAACATCCCTTTCTTGATAGGTTTGTTGGCATTTCTCTTGGAAGAAGTCAGCTACTCCTCCCCCCACGCAAGACACAAGATTTGCACTTTGAGAAAAAATACCTCAGACTGAAAGTCCAAACTGCTTTATTAGTATTAATTACTTATAAGAGTAAGAATGTGAAACTTGGTGGCACGTTCTATTCTATAAAGATATATATATATTCAATGGTGTGTATAATTTTAGGCCATGGGACTCTTATTAGTGATGATTAGGGAATAGCATCATTCCCACACTTAAAACAGAATGACCAGAAAGCTAAAAATGCTGATGTTTTGAGAAAAATAATATGGATCAAGGAACATTCTGAAATTTTTTTATTTTAAGGGAAGCATTGGGAAGAAAGGCCATTCAAAGAGGTAACATTAGTCTCCCATTTCACGCAGATGTCAAGTTAACCTAGGAAAGCAGTTGAGATGCTTTTATTCAACTGCAAAAAACTTTCTGATGTAGACTAAATTACTATCTATAATTATTCCTCTGCTAATTGTCAGAAACTTCGTCCTATCAATTTTAATTATTAAAAGTGACTAATTCAATTTCTGAATCAAATAATTTAGGGGATCTTATTTTTTCTGTTCCTAATATGTATTGACAATAGTTGAAATCTCCTACGTTCTGAGCTTAGCAGTAGCCTATCTAAAGATTTTGCTATTTATTTGAAAAATATGAACAATATGATACTTTAAGCATCAAACTACAGAAGACGTGCCCATTCACTATTATGTAAAATCTGCGTGACCACCAGCAATAAGTACTTACAGACTCAAGAGATTAATAAAGAGAGACAAAAGAGAGAGACAATGAACTGTATTTGGTACTTACTAACTCACAGTGATTTATTTATTGAAAAATGAAGCACTGGAATGAAAAAGTCTATATAGTCCTCACTCCTCCAGAGATGCAACAATGCACATTAAAGTTTTGCAATGGAAGTTTGGACATTTTTATAAATGGATTTCTACACATCAACACAATAATTTGGACTCACATGGGAAAATCCTAACATGACATAATGGTTATCAATGATTTTACATATTTATCCCAGGAGACTATTACATTCTAAGTTCTCACATTTTGGAGAATTTGAATTACAGTAAGTATCCTAAAACTGGACTTTGAGAGCTGCTGAGTTTAAAGTTTGTGAGCTTGATAGCTAGTAATGGAAGAAAAAAATCAGTAAACACTCTGTAATAGATTGGATACCATCTGTCATTAAATCATATTGGATACAGATTTGATTATGGAAAACTGTAATCACTCTAGAAGCAGGATGGGGACTGAAAAGGAAATTTGTTTCCTCTCCCACACATGCAACGGCCCCCTCACTGAGAGGGATCTATCAACATGCTAATGAACTTAATTCAGATCAGAATTGTGGGCCAAGAAAGAACAGGGATTCATTTGCCACCTATGAAGGATCACAAGAGATTTTGAAATCCCAGGAGGAAAGTGAACAAAACAAAACCCTAATATTGCAGATCTAGGGTGGTGGTGAAAAACATCTCTTGCCCGGCGCACTGAGTCAAAGGCCCAAGGGAACGATCTGCTTGTCCCAAAGGGTTGTTAAGATAATCACTTTATTATGAGCAGGAACTATGTACCGAAAATGAAGTAACCAAAGTTTCTACTATTCTGTGTAGTCGCAGCCTGCAACTGCCTTGTTCGGGGTTTCTCTGTTTCTGCCCCAACAGAAAGGGTGTCACAGGAAATTGATGGTAGTATCTAGAGTCTGCAGGAAGTGTGGCATCTCTCCATTCCCTGGAGGACTTAGTCTACAGCACATCTTCCCTTTTTTAAATTTCCTGACTGAACTAAAAAACACTATAAAACAGTGGTCACCAACCGGGCAATCGTGATTGACTCGTCGATCCTGGAGACTCTCCTAGTTGACCACAATCTCTAGCTGCTAAAAGTCCAATGGTGCAGTGGGACTGCCGCTAAGGCAGGCTTGCTCCCTGCCTGCCCTGGCCCCACGCCACTCCTGGAAGTGGCCAGCACGCCCCCATAGCCCTGGGGGAGGGTAGGGGTCTCCCTCTGAGTGCTGCTCCTGCCTGCAAGCACCACCGCTGCAGCTCCCATTGGCGGGGGAACTTCGGCCAATGGGAGCTGCGGGGGCGGTGCCTGCAGAGAGGGGCAGCGTGCAGAGTCACTTGCCCCCCCCCCGGGAGGCCACAGGGGCATGTTGGCCCCTTCCGGGAGCGGCACAGGGCCGGGGCAGGCAGGGAGCAAGCCTGCCTTAGCCCCGCTGCACCGCCGCCCGGGAGCCGCCCAAGGCAAGTGCCACCTGGCTGGAGTCTGCACCCCAACCCCCAGCCCTGAGCCTCCTCCTGGAGCCAGCACCCCATACCCCTTCCTGCACCCCAAACTGACTTAAATCTTAAGGTTGCTTAAACACAACTCTAACACATCTCAATCTGCTGTATTGCAAACTCTCTTTAGGCAAATTCTTGCCTGTAACAAGCTGTTCAATCTCATGCTTAACAACAGGGTCACAGTTTGTGAACTGTTTTCAGCTAGTATGTCTGCTCTCACTTCATTTGTCTCGGCCAAGTTTTCAGGTATCTTGAGCAGACGCGTACAATTCCTTTGTAAGATTTTGCCTTTTCCTCTGTGATCACTGAGTACAAGTAAGGTGACTCTTCTTTGATCACTGTAGCTTGGACTGGCCAGTGTCCATCTTGCCAAATTCTCCCTTTTTTTTTAACTGTGGCGGGTGTCTTGGTCCTTTATTGTATTAGTTCGGTTGTACTTTCCTAGTTCTCCCCCTCACTATCAAACACTTCTTAATCATCCTTTCCAATGTCCCATACCTGATAATCAAGTATTTATATGTCTGTTGTAGAAGAGTTCAGTGGATGACTTTCCACATTGCAGCAGTGTAGTGCTGTAGCTGAGTACTGCTAAGATGGATCTTCTCTTGCATCCCTGCTTTTTTGATCAAGTTCTTCAGTATACATAGTCCACATTCAGATAATCCACTGATCTCATGATATGTGGGACTAGATGTCTCATAATGAAAGCCATACATTTTACCAAAGTCCAGGAAATCCCTATTCTTGAACTGTGGTCCATTGCCACTTCTTATTGTTCTTGAAATTCCATGATGTGAAAATCAGATTTACTATGCCTGACTACTGGTGTTGCTGTGGTATCTTCAAGTGTGTTTACTTCTGGGAAATTGGGTAAGCAGTCCATTATAAATACGTGATCATGTCTTTTCAAGATGAATATATGAATTCCAACTTTGTCTCATAGAATCTCAAGTTGTTCACATGGTACCATTGTTTTTTTCAGCTGAGAATCTATATTTTTGACATGTTCCACTCCCGCTCACCATTTTTTCAATGTCACTGTTCATCTGTGGCCAGAATAAAATTTCTCTACTTCTCCCTTTTTGATTTGGTCATTCCCAGGTGCCCCTCATGTATCTGTTCCCTTCTCATCTCTGTGGGAACCACGATCCGTGTTCCCTTCAAGAGCACTTCTGAGATCACTGATAGGGAATAGGCAGGTGGGAAATGTTTTTCCCCTCCTTTACTTATCACTTGTATCTCTGCTTACATCATTTTATCTTTAGCCTAAAAATACACCATGTGACACTTATATTCACATATATGTTAACTGCTTGTTCCAGATCATCAGGCTATATATTGTCAGATGAAACATATGATCTTGACAATGTGTCTACCCTTACTAAGTGGCATCCAGGTTAGAACTCCAGGATCATATCATGCTTTTGTAATTTCAAAAGTAGTCACTGTATTCTTGGTTATGCTTCTCCAAGTCCCTTTTTGTGTACTGCAATCAATGGATTGTGACCAGTTTCTGCTTTGAAGCTATGACCACAAAGAAAGTCATGAAATCTTGTACATTCATACACCAGACCTCCTGTCTCTCTTTCAGCTTCTCTTCAGCTGCCTATATGTTCTCTGCAGCTGTCACAGCCCTAGATGCATTTGAGACTGGCAACCAATCAGTTCCATGACAATGAAATACTACTATTCCCAGCTCTCCTTTCAAGGTGTCTGTGGAGAGTTTAATGTCTTTCAGTCAGTCAAAAATTTGCAGCACTGGAGATGGTGTCAGAATGTGCTTTAAATCACATTAGGCATCTACACTCATTTGGTGACCTTGTGAGATGCCTTAGATGACTTGTGTGTGTGGTAAAGGTAGACATGTATTTGCTGACATAATTCAACACACCTAGCAGCCTTTGAATTATCTTTCTATCTTCAGGTCTCAGTATGTTCAGTATTGCGCCAATCTTTGATTCACTGGGCAAGATTCCCTTGGAGGTCAGTCTCTCTCCCAAGTAAGTTATTTCCATTGTCTGAAATTGGCAATATTCACCTTAAGGTTATGAGCTCTCACAATTTCCAATACTTTCTTC